ATTGAATCATTGGAACTTGCATAAACATTGATTTATCAAGGTCTCATTGGGTCTCATATAGTTGGAACTAAGAATTTAATTTAGGTTCAGTCTGCAAACAGAGATAACAAAAAAGTAAAAGAAAAAGAAGGTTTTTTTTTTTAAAAAAGTTGGAAATAAATACTTCAAAGTAAAAAATAAATAAAGGGCTTCTTATGAGGGAAGACACAGGGTGAGACACAACTTGGAATAACTTGAGAGCTAAGTGAAAATTACAAGATATTTTTGTAAGGCTATGGATTCTGTGATATAAATACCTCAATCCTGAATAATTTTCAAAATCCAAACGTCTTGTCCCATCTGGATTAGGAGATTTGGGATATACAGATTAGCTAGCTTCCAACTACAAGAACCAAAGTTGCATATACATCCCCCCGGCGTCTGCCCCTAATCTAACTCTCATTGTAGCTGAAGCATGAGAAAAAAGGTTTTAATAACCATTTAATGGTTGTGCGGAAAATGAAAGAGTAAAATTTAACAAAATGTACTAAGAGCAAGGGGAAAATGCAGAAAATATTGCATCTATATCCAAATTAATCAGAACTGCAGGAGGGAAATTCCTCAATATGCAAAGCCATATTGTCCAGGTAAGAATTATCTTCAACACACAGGTGGGTTTGTGCCCTACTCCATCATAGATTCCTTTATCTGATCAAAGCAACTGTTCAAGTACAGAAACATGAGGTGAAGCAGCCAGGTGTAACAGACATCAGAATCACAAGCTGCACTATAGAAAGGAGGCAGGGCTACATTTTTAGTTTCAGGACCATGGAGAGCAGTCTGTAAACTACAGATGTATTACCTTAGCAATAAGGTTGTTTTACAGGCAGATCTGGAGAATCTTCTTGGAAGCTCTGCCTATTCACTTTGTCAAAGAGCCAGACTTCTGTTATCACAGCCCTCTGAGGTAGGAGAATGAAGACTGATGGAGTGAGGAGTGGGTGTGAGAATATTTTTTAGGATAGTCTATCTCACAGAGAAGCCCAAAGTCCACTCTTCCTGTTAGAGACCAAGAAGGGCTTCTGGGGTTCATGTGAACAGGATATGGGCTCCACAACAGAAAGTCTCCGTTCAGAAAGAATGGGGGGGGGGGATTGCAGCACATGTGGCCATTTCTCTATACACAGCAGTTAACACCCTTAATGATGTTGTGGTCCTTTCATCATTGTCTGCCCTTTCCTCCATAGAAGACATCCCATTTACTTGTTCTCACTGTAATCTGAATTTTCCCCCATTTTAATTTTTGTTTTGTCCCAGCCATACTTCTGGCCCACAGAGAAGCAAACATGTCAGATTTAAATCCAGCTATACACAACCAATTTCTGTAGCAGGGTAAAGCAACAGAGCAAACTCATAGGGCCCAGCTATATACAGGTGAGCTATATTGTGACTCATGGAGATATATTGTATTTCTTTGATTCTAAGACATACTTTTTCTTTATATAAAATAGGGTGTATCTTAGAATCATATGTATTTTTGTGTTGTTGGTGGTACTGAAATTAGGATGCGTCTTACAATCAAGTCTCTTAGAATCGAAGAAAGACAATAGTAAAAAGCCGAGGCTTTGTATAAAATACCTATCCCACATTTAACTCGCCTGCCCCTCTCTGCTGCGTGCTGCTCTCAACTCCCTACTGAGAACCCCATGACTTTTACAGAATTCTTGCCCCTCATTGGCAGCCAGAGCAGCTGACAAAATCACTGCCTTTGTGAGGTCAGTATCAGTTGCTAGGAGACTTGGAGCTGCAGATACACAAAGGGCCCTGAGCTAATGCAAGGGTGCATCTTGGGTGGAAACAGTGAGAAGCCCCGATAGAGCTGGTGTGACTGTCCCAAAAACAGATCAGCTGGGCGATCTTCACAAAGAGGCTGAGTCGTCTCAGCCTCCGGTAATTGAGGGGACAGAATTTTTAACTTGCTTCATTTATCCCTGATAGCAACCAAAGCCAGTATCAAAAACTTGGGACATGTTTGACATGGCGGGGAAGAACAATTGCCAGTGTGTAGATAGGTTGGTGGGATGTGGTGGAGCAGTGATCAAGATCCACAATGGGTTGGCGGCCCTGGTCCTTTCTATGTAGGTTGTGGAACTACTTCTGTAAGAAAGGTACTTTATGCAAATCCCCAAGCCCTCTCTCAACAAGACTTGATTTCCTTAGACCCCTTTCATTTTGAGTGGGGATAGGACTGGATAATTATTGCATGTGCTTGTTCAGTGTCTGTCTCTCTAACCAATTGCCTCCACTTTTTGATATTATATTGAAATTACATTGTAAGTCTAATAAGTGGAGACTGCCCTCTTCTAGAAATGAAACCCGTTAGTTACATTTGCCTTGTGCTCTTAGGCAACTTAAGCAGAATAACGTTTTCCATTCTACCTACCTGGTAGTGTTTTCCCTTATTCCAGGTGCTGCAATAGACCAGTCACTTTCTTTCTTTCTCTTCAGCAAATGGGTTGAACCATGGGATCAGTCACAACAACCCTAGTTTTTCGTTTTCTGGTTTACAGCTCCATTCGCCTAAGGACACAAACCCTCAAGCATTTCACACATGTTTAGCAACTGTAATAGAAATGTAATCACTTAAGAAATGGAATAGGTTCATAATTTACATATAATAAAGCTGAAGAACCTTCACATCCAGCTCATAAAGCCATCATTACCTTTCCACACAACTGACACATCACCAGCAGCAAAGCTCCAACTTTCTTCCACAAATTTTCTCATACTGTCCCTGCATTTTAGAAACATTCATTGCAATCTCCCCAACAATGCCAACTTTCTGGATGAAAAGATGTGTCCCTCACAACTTGCACTGGATGATCTCAAAATCTAAAGAAAAATCTATACCTATACTTTCTCAACACCGAGGTCTTCTAAACATTTTCATTTTGAAAGGTCAAGCAGGATTTAAAATCTGATTGAGTGACTGTGGCAGCATGGATCTACTCATATGAGATTTAAAATAATGGGAATATGGTGGGGAAAAGTCAAGTGAGAACATTCCAAAAAATAGGCATTAGGAAAATATTCCCCTTTTACTAAACTATCACATTGACTGCAGAATAAAACACCACAGTGAGGCCCCTTCCACACAGCTGTATAAAACCTACATTGAACTGGATTATATGGTAGTGTGGACTCAGATAACCCGGTTCAAAGCAGATATTATTGATTATCTGCTTTGATATTCTGGATTACATGGCTGTATGGAAGGGCTCTGCCTGTTTCTTCATGTTGGAGACAGAAGCAGCTGAACAAATCACTGGTTTTTCATCCAAAAGTTTGTTTGTTGTGATAGTCAAACCCAACAATCTGCTTTGTCTCTTGCCAAACTTTGTCTCTAACTCTGCTTTAGTGTTATTCATTTGCTATGGGTTGTTGTAGGATTGCTTCCCTGTTTTGCTGAGGGAAATACAAACCAGATTTTGATGTCTGGAGGTCACACTAAATAAACCAGAGACAGGTTTGCTCAGTCATTCCCATTTATTACAGGAGGAATTGTGGAGTCTGTGCCATCACACTGCCTCGTGTTTTCTTATCTGCCCAAATTCTACAGCATTTTTCTCTATTTTATATATTATTCATAATTCATTCCTCACCATAGACTATGCTAGCAGGGCTGGTGGGAATTGCAGTGCAACAATAACATAGTAAGATCCAGAAGTTATCCATCCCCAATCTAAACAAAGCCAACATGTGTTCAAGTTTACACACAGAATCCATACACATAGGTGGAGACCTCTGATTTTGTTAGGATTTTAACTGTGTAAAAGCATTTGCCAGGACCTTTCTGCAAAGCAATGCTGCAGTAAAACAGTAGAAGACATTAGCTTTGTGGGTGGGTGATGATAATGAATGAGTCCAACAGTCATGGACAAAATCTTGTATAAACTGTATTAATATATTCTAAAAAGCTGTGCTACATATAGGTATAGGCAGGCAGTGAAATGTTCATCACTCAGGAATTAATTGCGGCTATTGGGTAATGTCAAAGTTACACATTAATGTCTGGTTGCAAAATGAAAAGTAATATTTGTTAAATGTTTAAGAAAGGGATCTAAAGTATAACAGTGTTTCAGTCAAAAGGAGAGTATCTTTATTACATGGTATTGTCTGCATAGAATTTTTCACAGTGTTCCATAATATGTTTCACCATTAGACAATGTGAAGTAGTTGCCTACAGCAGAGATGCTACAAAATGGGAATGGCAGTGGAGGGCAAGATCTGTATGTGCTACAGGAGGCAAACTGGGATCAGCTAACAGATTTCCGGGTGGTTTTGCAATAAAGCAGCAATGGTCTGCTTTTTTTCAATGACGGCAATTTTAAAGTCCAAACTAGGCAGAATCAATAATCTGTAGAAAATCAGGTGGAGATTTCTACTTGTATAGTTCAGTGGTTCCATTTATCACTCATAGAGGCCATGCATAAACGGCTCTGCACCCTAAGCTATCTGCCTCTAGTTGTGAAATTAGATCCTAGAAACCAATGCTGTGCTAGGGTATGGTGCCTTAAAGTATGGTGTGCCCTGTCCTGTTGCCAATGCTGAAATATGATTCACATGCCAGCTTCTGTAGGCCTGAGTACATGGAATTGGAGCAGGACAACACTTTTCTTGTTTGCTTCATGCCAGTGTTGGATATAGCTTCCATATCATTGAAGTGGTGAATCTGTTCACAGTCTTGATCTATGCTTCAAGAATGCTATGTCAATTAGTCAACCCTTCCCCTAGATTTACGTTCTTAGATATCTCCCTTGAAGTTTGGACTAAACCTCACTGTGAATCTGCCACCTCATTACTACCCATTGGACAGTAATCTTAACTCCACAAAACAAAGTTAATAGTTCAAAGCAGTTTTTACAGGCGTTCCTTCCTCATGCCATAAAGTAATTGTAAGATACAGTACTTTTTATACACTTAACAGATAAGTTTGGTTTTTTGCTTTGGAACAGGCACAGAAAGTAACATGCCACAGACAGACAAGCAAGTATGCATTCCACCGGAGCTTCCAGATTTGCTCAAGCAGTTTACCAAAGCTGCTATTCGGACTCAGCCTCCAGATTTAATACTATGGTCTTCCGAGTAAGTTTCATATTTTCTTCTAAAGGACTTAAATTATGTTTGCTTGGAGAGGATTCAAACATAGATTTACTTGAAGAATTCTACATATGTAGTACTTGGTACTGTAGTTTTTATTTTGTTCTGCTGCTTCAAAATGCAGACATTATCATCATTATCATTATCATCATAAGACAGATAGGAAAAGCTGATAGGAGTCGCAGCCAAGAATACCTGGGGTGTTGATTAATTCCTGTGACTTCTGGGTACAAATGCATCTGCTGTTTTATGCATGCTGAGCTCCATTCACACTTTGGACTGGATGCATAAACTGAAGCAAAGCATTGGACTATAATTCCCAGAATCCTCTAGTTAGCCACTAGCTATTCTGTTTGGGCAATTCTGGATATTGTAATCCAGAAAGTAGCATTTCTATACCCTGAACTAAGACCATGGCTAAAAGCATGACTTACTTCTCCCTGTCCTTACCCACAGCAACAATAGTAAGGAGGTATGAACATGGCAAGATTGGGATAGTGATCAGTGACAAGGTTTGCTTCATAGCAGGGATAGGCAACTGGTGCTCTCTAGCTATTCCTGGACTGCAGCCCCAGCATCATCATTGGGCAGCCAGTCTAGGGTTGACAGAAATATGTTAATCAAGGCTACAACATCTCTCTACCTTCTTTGCAGCATCCTAGGTTTGAGTTGGTAGAGTTCAGAAGGCATACATGATGTTGCACAACAGTACAAAATTTGGTTCCTTGATTTTCTAGTATGCCATTTCCTTACCTTTGTGTGTCAATTTTCTGGAATCTTTGTTGTTTTATTTCCCTTCCCTTTTGGTGCTCCTTTGTTTCCTTTTTCCCAGAAAACACAATATATTCCCTAAAAATAAACAGTAGTACATTTACAGTGCAGTCTAGTGGTTTGAGCACTGGGCTACAACTCTAGAACCAGAGTTCAAATCCGCACTGGGCTATGAAAACCCATTGGGTGACCTTGCGCTAATCATACTTTCTTAGATTCAGAGAAAAGGAAACACAAACCCCTTCTGAACAAATCTTGCTGAGAAAATCCCATGATAGGTTCAAAGTCCAATTATAATTGCCCTATGCCAGTTGTAGATAAATTTATATGGAGTAAAACACAGTTTAAGAGTGCCAAGGTCTGATAGTTTGTGGTTGAAACAACAACAAACACAACAGCTCCAAATAACAGGTCATTTGTACTCCAGGCTGATATTCAGAATCCAAACTCTAATAGGAAACAGACCCTTTCAAGTTGCAAATTCCACATCTTTGTAAAGGCCCCTTAATCTTCCCCAAAACACACACACACACACACTGAGCAGAGGCAACAAGTTCTGAGGTACAATGACCTGGCTCTTGAATATAATATAGCTCACACCAACATCCATTAACACAAGGAGACCACTTCTGAGCAATGAGTGTGTGAGATGCTGGCCTCTGTATTTTGAAATGTTGCATTTGAGTTTTAGAACAAATCATTCAAAAAACCTTTCAAAGGTCGATAAACAGCACCTTGGGGATAAGGAGCAATGATCAGGAAAAAAGAGATGCCAGGAATGATTAGATCTTCTATTCCACAGTGTGACATCTCCAATTCAAACCTTGCACACCCCCTCCTACACCCACTCCCATGAGGTCATTGTTGAAAAACAATAATAACAGTTTAAAAATCTTATGTCAAGTCTAATTTAGTCATTAGATAAGAATAAATGCAAGAAAACAAGCATTTCCCCCAAAAGAAATACAAGGTGTTTATTTATTGGGCTTCCACCCCATCTTCTGTGGTACTCATGCCATTGGATTTTATCTCTATCTAGTCTTTTACTTATGAGGTCTTATAATCAAGATGCAGGCCTTTATAGGAAGACTGTGTGTGTGAATATCCATAGAAACACATAATGTGTGGCCATGGTGGTGAGATGACAGGTGGCTATTGGGGGAAGAAAACAGGAGGGAAATGTTGATGAAAGCCAAAGGGAGTAGATAACCACATGAATGATGGTAATTGGAATGTAGTGGGATGTGATAAACTGGCCGGGAGAGCCTTTGTGATCACTTCATGCAACTGAGAAAGTAGATTTAACTCTAAGAAAACTTATGCCGCCAACATTTTTCTCTTTGTCTCTAAGGTGCTACAAGATCTCTTTGCATACTGATAATGTATTCCAGAGTTACACAGCTATGCCTTTGAATCATACCTCCATATAAAGCGAGCAACTTTGTGAAATGTGAGCATTTGTTCTGTCTTTCTGTCCAGATATTTCAGTGCCATGGCCCGTGGAGAAGTTCCCCCTGTAAGGGAGCGAGCAGATAGAGTGCCTTTATCAAACTGGGCAGAGCTTACTCCGGAGCTCTTGAAGGTCTTGCACCAGAGAGTAAGAAACATCTCCTTTCCATTTTAGGGCAAGTACTTGAGAGGTTTTGGTGTTTGAAATGCATATATAACTGACTACTTCATACAGTTTCTGGGCATGGTTTTGTAACTGCCTTTAGTGTTATGCTTGCTACTTTATTTACACGATCAGATGCATATAGAGGGAAATTTTTTTCCATGTCAGGAGCAACTTGAGAAACTGCAAGTTGCTTCAGTGTGAGAGAATTAGCTGACTGCAAGGACGTTGCCCAGGGGATGGCCAAATGTTTGATGTTTTATCACCCTTGTTCGGTGAGCTGAAAAAAGATATCAGTCTTCTGCTCCTGTATCAAATAATATAATGCACACAGAAGATGACTTTTTGAAGATAAAAGGCTTTTGTATCTATGGAAGCTCTTTGTTCAGCAAGCAGAACATTGGAAAACCAAGATTCCTTACATATTATACAATTACAGCACTATGATCCCACCTTAATTGCCATGGTTGTATCCTATAGGATCCTGGGATTTGTCTTTGAGCAGAGATACCTGACTGAGGACTCTATAAGCCCCTCCCTAAACTCCAAACCCCAGGGATAATGTTTGCTAAAGTAAAATCATCGTGATATTTGTATAGATCCAATTATTATAGGATTCCGGGATTTAAAATCACACAGAAAGTTTCCATGGATAGACGAGTAAGTCAATTTCATAAACTCACCCTACATGCATAGAAGCAGCTGGGAATGGACAAGGAAGAATAGGGTTCACATAGTTCCCCTAATGCCATGTTTACTAAACTCTCTACTTCTGCTCTCAAGTAAGGTTTTTCTTTCTTCTTTCTGCTCTACTATGAGCATCCACTGTTACAGCATTTCAGCTTCATGGAGGCTGCATGACAATAGGGTTTGTAGGTTTGAGGAGTGGAGAAAGAACTTACTAAACTCTTTTTTTTTAAAACCCTCTATATTCTGTGGTTGTGCTGGAGTGGAACAGGGAAATGTGACATAAAAATAAATATGTTTAAAAATTCAGAAAGCAAGCCATGATTTTGCCACAGGGGCTCCTGGAACAAAATCCCAGTGGAACCAAGGGCATACTGTCTTTTAAAGTTTAGGCCCAGCCCAATGTAATTATTATCTTTGAATTTAATATTTGGGTTGTGTTGGGTAAGCAAGAAAAAAAAAATAAACAAAATACATGGAACATAAAAAAAAATTTCTTTCTTTTTAACAAGCACAGAACAACAGAACAAGTCAACTTAATGATAGTTCATGACTATAACCTTCAGATATACCTAATAAAAATAGTGGGAACAGTATGGCTCTCTGAGTTTATTTCTATTTACCTGCTACATTTTAGCCCACTTTCAATTGAAAGATAGCACTCAAGTCGTCTAATAAATAATCCAAAAGCAAAGTAAAGCAACAGAATGTTTTCACTGTAATAAATTATTATGTTGTCAGGCTGAAATTCTACTTGGCAGTGTAGCTATTGGTAATGGATGATAGTGCAGCCCAACAATATCTAAAAGGCCACACATTTCCCATCCCTGTCATAGAGTCAGCAAAATGCTGTTTGTCTTGGAAACAGTAAAGTTAAGAATAAAATTAGTGACAAAGATTATCAGTAAATTACCTGATCTATGGGGGTTTTTTTAAGTAAATTTTTAAAAAGTCAATAATTTCTTCACTTATTGTCGATGGTTTTGTTTTGTTTTTCAGGTGAGTGGGAGGCTGATTGTCCATGTGGATGAATTGGCCCAGATGTGGAAGGTGCTCAATCTCCCAACAGATTTGTTTGACAGTGTAATGAACGTTGGGCGTTTTACTGAAGAAATTGAATGGCTCAAGTTTTTAGCTCTGGCCTGCAGCTCTCTTGGAGTTGTAAGTTTGTCTTTTGAATTTCAAGTATTCCTTTAAATGTATGATGTTTGTATAACTTGAAATCTCAAGGAGAAAAATCTAGTGCCAAAATGAGAAAAAAAATATCAAATTGGAACTGGCCAGAAGTCAATGTTGATGTTGTAAAAGAAGTGTGGGCTTTTTGTTACTATACAGTGAAAAAGTACAACTTTTTAACAAGGTGAATCACCGCTGCTGGGTGCATTGTCCTTTTTATTTGCTAGAAAAAGATGGCTTGGAGAGGCTTTGTGTGTGTGCACATGCACATGCATGCTTGCCACAGCAGACAGGCACAGGACTACACTTTGTCTTTCTTTGCTTGTATATGTTGTGCCCCGCCTCAAGCAAAAAGGGAGAGATGAGTAATAAATAAACATTATTATTATTATTAGGACATGTATACAGACGCATGCATTTACACATAGGGGGAAAGGAGGGAGGGAGAGAAATAACTCAGGAAGACTAACTTATAGGATTGTTCACTAGGTTAAAGAAAAATTACAAGAAAAACTCTGAAATGTACTTTAAGATATTAATTACACTATGCAACATAATTTAGGAAAAATCTGTTCCTGGGTTGTTGTAGGTTTTTCCGGGCTATATGGCCATGTTCTGAAGGCAATTTTGTGTGTGTTCCTGGTTTGAAAGTGTTATTCCTATTTAATTGTGTGGTATTTACTTTGAAAGTAGTTATACACCAGAAACTTCGTTTTTATGGCTGCCACAAACTATGTTGAATTGGTTGAGGCTCAATGAAATATTCATTGCAAAACCAGTGTAGATTCATATAATCCAGTTCAAAGCAGATAATGTAGATATTATATGGCAGTGTAGAAGGGGCCTCAGGGGCCCCTGCTGCCCGTTTAGACTTGTCACTCTCAATGTAGAGACAGAAGTGGAGACAAAGAAGCAGGGTTAGCACATCACCTCCCCTCTCGGCATTTTGGTTGATAGAGGGCCCTTTTACACCGCCATATAATCCAGATTACCAAGGCAGATAATCCTCATTATCTGCTTTGAACTGGATTATATGAGTCTACACTGCCATATCCAGTTCAAAACAGATAATCTGGATTTTAGATGGCAGTGTAGAAGGGGCCTCAGTCTGCTTCCTAAATGCCAGCACTATTTATTTATTTATATTTATAAACTTTATTTATACCCCGCAAAATCTCCCGAAGGACTCGATGCGGCTTACAAAGGCCAAGGCCACCGACAACAACAACATACAATACACAGTCAAAACTCATAAGCAAATAATAAAACATCAAGCAACAATAAAACAGTAAAACAATAAAACAATGACTAGGCATATATCTACTGTAGTTTTCACATATAATAAAAATGTCCATCCAATCTATGTTTGTCATGTTAATACACCTTTATAGAGTTCCAGTTAATCAAATGTAGGGCTTATCCTGAAGGTAATTTGGGATTGCTGGATGGAAACCTCTGGTTGTAGGCCAAAAAATAACTTACCTGAGCTCTGAAAATTCTAGTTACCAGTAAACTGTTTGTATTAATACAATATTTCTCAAAACAAATTATCATAATATTTTCAATTTCTCGCGTTTCTCTCAATCTTTTATGAATCTGGCATTTTGTATTTTTAAAAATCATCTGTATCTTCAAGGTAGTTTTCCTCTCTTCAAGCCATAATCTTATATTCATAACAATGCAGTTAGCTGCCCTGAAGATCATTTTGATTTCACAGCAGATTTTGACTTCAGGTGAGCAAAACCAGAAAAAGCAGATGGCACTAATTAATACCTGTTTCTCCTTCCGGTTAAACATGCTTCATCGTGTTTCACTAATTAAACAAATGGCAGAATTTGCATGACATTCTTATTTTTTCCTATCAGAAATCACATTCTCTGATTCTTAGGGATTTTAAAATGGCCTAGTTATTGGAATAGGCCAAAATCAATTTGTAGTGTTTGTGTAGAGGAAACAAAGCTAGAAGTTGAAGAACATTCTTTCAGTATGGAGCAGCTACTAGGAAATCACTTCCGTTCAGGGGCTTCTTATGTGTAATCTGGTGCCAACATTTTTCTTAGACGCTGTGCATAAAATGTGTGTGTGAGAGAGCATGTTATTGACCATAATAGCCCAACAGAAATTAAAATGTCCTTAAACACATTTGAATGGTGGGATTAACTTGACAGTGGTAGGGCCCTTCCACACAGCCATATAACCCAGAAAAAGAAAGCAGAAAATCCCACAATATCTGCTTTGAACTGAATTATCTGCCATAGAACCTAGTTCAAAGCATATAATGTGGGCTTTTACTCAGCTAAAAGGGGCCGAAGATGCAACCTCAGGGTGTCATGGAATCTCCTTCTTTGTAGGTTGTTAAGCAGAGGCTGTATGGCCATCTGTAAAAAGTGCTTTGATTGTGCTTTCCTGCATGACAGAATGGAGTTGAACTGAATAGCCCCCATGGTCTCTTCCAGCTTTGTCAGTCTATTATCAACATCACAGCTATGCCTTAATACTTCTAGAAAAAAATCTAGAAAAAAATATGCCAATATGTTAATAATACCTAATAGCATTCTGCTTTTTTAAACAGACTATTGCGAAAACTCTGAAGATAATATGTGAGGTTTTATCCAATGAGAATGACAGTGGACCAGCTCGCATTCCTTTCAGTACTTTCCAGTTTCTCTACACTTACATTGCTGAAGTCGATGGAGAGATCTCAGCATCCCATGTCAGCCGAATGCTGAATTACATTGAGCAAGAGATGTAAGTAGCCCTGAGCTAAGACACTATTAAAGCAAATCACTGCTAGCACAACCTCTGCAATAGCTGTACTGTGGTGATAAAGGGTAGCTTTTGAAAACAGATGGCAACATCTGTAGCTAAGTCCTATGATCAGTTTACTTAGAAGATTCACAAATTTAGCAGAGTACCATTATGCAGTTTGCCTTTTGGGGCTGGGAAAATCCTATTGTGTGTATTTATGCAGTTTCCTATAATTTTGATGGGGTCAAAATTGAGAACATAAAATACTTCCCATGCTAATTTCCTCCCTGGAAATCCTGTTCCATTTTTTAAAAACGACTTGAGCACATGCTGAAGCATTTGCCTATCTTTAAAAAAATTAATCCATTTTTTAAGTAACACTTGGTTGAAGCTCATAGCTTCTCTCCTGGTCTCATTTATAGTTAAAGCCACTTTAGCAGGCACTGATGCCATGAATTCCCTTCTTAGGTATTAAAAATAAACCATTAGTTTTTTAAAAAAAATCCCTTTTGGCTCTGAAAAATGTCATGTATGAAAACAGTTCAAAATATATATGGTGACTGCCATCTTGTGGCATTTACTTACGGTAAATACACTTATGGTGGAATCTGCAAATAATTACATTATTTTTCATACCCATAGCAGTTGTTTAAAAATGACTGTATGTATGTATTTGGGGTTTTCGAATGAACCAAGACTGGCTTTTGAAAAGATAGAAGACATTGCAATCATTGCATTTCAGAGAAAGAGGAGTTTAGGAAATATGTTTCACATAAAAACAGCTTGCTGATGGAGCAAACATCTATATTAGCTGCTTTGGGTCTTGCTAAGAGAGGGAAGTGGGATATAAATATTATAGTTAATAATGTGGACTGGGCTGTGGTGCAGCCAGTTAGTAGCCAGCTGCATTAAATCACTACTGACTGAGAGGTCATGAGTTTGAAGCCAGCCTGGGTCAGAGTAAGCTCCTGACCATTAATAGTCTAGCTTGCTGTTGACCTATGCAGCCAGAAAGACAGTTGCATCTGTCAAGTAGGAAATTTAGGTACCGCTTTATGCAGAGAGGCTACTTTATTGTATATACTCGAGTATAAGCCTAGTTTTTCAGTCCTTTTTTTAGGCTGAAAAAGTCTCCCCCGGCTTATACTTGAGTCAATGTTATTTATTATTTTACTYTGTTGTTGTTGTTGTTGTTGTTGTTRCATTTRTTATATTATTRTTGTTATTATTAMATTTATTATTTTACTCTATTTATTATTGTTATTGWTACATTTATTATTTTACAGTATTTTTATTATTACATTTATTATTTTACTCTATTATTACTGTTATTATTACATTCCATTATTTTACTCTATTATTATTATTATTATTATTATTATTATTATTATTATTATTATTATTATTTTATTCTATTTATTATTATTGGRGGACATGTAAGCRTATTTACATTGAAGAAGGTTAGAATAATGGTTTAATCAGAGTTGGACAGTCTTATCTTGAATTACAGTTTWATGTAAATATTCAAAAACATTKAACCTACTGATGCMTAMATTAATATWATTTTATTGGTATCTATTTTTATTTTGAAATTTACCAGTAGCTGCTGCATTTCCCACCCTCGGCTTATACTCGAGTCAATACATTTTCCCAGTTTATTGTGGTAAAATTAGGTGCCTCGGCTTATATTCGGGTTGTCTTATACTCGAGTATATACAGTAACTAATTTATGACGCCATAAAACCTTCCGGCAGCGTGCAGAAGAATGAGAAAGTATTCCATCAAAGGACCTGGTGTCACAAATGGACAGTGAAGCAACAGCTCCCCCTGTGGCCAGTACCAAGCGTTCCCTCATGAAGCCAGAAAAAGCTGGAATGTTAAATTGCCTCTGCATCTGTTTATATATGTTGCATGTCTAAATGGCATTGAACATTTGCCATGTATATGTGCATTGTAATCCGCCCTGAATCCCCTGCAGGGTGAGAAGGGCGGAATATAAATATTGTAAATAAATAATTGATAATAATGATAATGTTTATGTTCTCTCCACAGCATTGGACCAGACGGGTTGATCAAGGTGACCGATTTTACCCAGAATCCTCGAGTCAGGCTGGAGTAGATTCTCAGTGCCTCATACACTACTATGTTACTAAAAGCAAGAGGAAACAGAGGATAGAATAAGAATTTCAAATAGGCCAGCCTCTCAGTCTCTTTTGTCCCTTTGTGTCCATTAATAAACAGTTTGCTAAAGCAACCAATCAGAAAGATGGAAACATAGATTGAGAAGGTGCCGATGGAATACTAGGGACTACGATACCCACACGTTCACACAAATAAATATAAAATACTACCAAATAGTATAAACCTATTATATTAAATATGTCTGAGGTCAGCCTTTCTCCCCTTTTTTGTGCTTTTCAAATTGTCTGGCACTGCCTTTTGAAATTGGGGGATACAGCCGAACACAACAGCAATGTACAAAGGAGTGAGCTTTGGAAGAGGTTTTAGTTATGTTTCCCAATCTATTAGTGACTATTTATTTCTGCATTTATCCAAGTGTAGTTGACAAGTGGATCACAGAACACAAATGGTTATGAAATGTTTTGAAAGTTTCTCTATATTTAAAACATCTTCACAAATCATCTCTCATGTGACACCATGTGGTAATACCATTCCAAAACAATGTTACCTTATCTTCTGAACTTTTATGATGTTTTCAAAGCTGCACAGAATACCGAATATCAAACTAACTTCTTATTGTTGTTGTGTGCATTCGATTACTTCCCTACTTTTATTGTGGCCCTCAAAGGACTTTATCATAGAGTTGTCTGGGCAAGATTTGTTCAGAGAGGGTTTACTTTTGCCTTGCTTTGAAGCAGACAGCGTGTGACTTATTCAAGGCCAACTGCTAGGTTTCCATGCACACGTGGGGATTCAAACCATGATCTCCTGGAGTCTTAGTCTTAACACTTAAACCACTGCTCCACACTTGCACCAAACTAGCTTACTTGCAATTACCATTGGACTTCCATTACCATGGATTCAATCATCTACGGCTTGAAAATATTTTGTAAAAATCCAGACCCAAGCCTTGATTTTGCCATTTTGTACAATGCACACCATTTTACTACACCATTGCATAAAATGGGATATGTGAATTCACGGATTTTGGTATCCACAGGGGATTCTGGCACTAAAGCTCAGCGGATGCCAAGGGTCCACTGTATTTTACTTTCCATCAGCAGCAGGCGGTGGCTTTCAGGTTGATGGGACAGTTTATCTACTATGGATTTTAATCCAAATCAAGTGCCAGTGTAATGTCAGACTAGCAATTCAAGAAACCAGAATTCAAATCCCCATCCAGGCCTGGAAACGCATTGAATGGTCGCTTCTCAATAAATCTTGACAAAAGAAAAGTTTGTGATACGTTCTCCTTAAGTCAGAATTGAGACACATAGTAACAATGATACTGATCCTGAAACACCACCTATATTATTAATCCCGACTAGAAATACCGTAAATACATGTACCTGCTCCAAAGGCTTTGAAGTAGGGCTGTGCAAAGTGTAACCCTTCAGATGTTCTTGGACTGCAATTTGCACTCTTCAACGTTAGCTTTGCCAGTTCAGGCAAGTCAACTGGAGGGGCACACTTTGACCACCCAGGAGGCCATGAAAAATAAGGATTCAAATGGGTGGGGGACATGTTAAATGTTGGAGGTTAAGCATCAAAAAGAAGTGTTGGGGTGTCTCTTAAACAGAGTTTTAAAGTTGGCATGTCGGAAAGGATACAGTGAGGTTTATAGAAAGTGAGCTGACAACTGAGAAATGTATAGGATACTAATGCAACTTGGTTTAGTTTGGAAGTAGATTTAGTTAGCAAGTAGATTTAGGCCATTATTATTGAGAGCAGCAAGACCTTGGTTTACTTTGTGGGTTTTTAAACGCACAACTGTCACAAGGTTTGAAAGGCAAGCTGAATTCCTGTGCCCCATTTGCTCAGAAGTAAGGGATTTCCTCATTGGTTAGGCCAGGGTCTTAATACATGCATTTTTAAGTAAGTTTTTTTTTTTTAAAAAAAATGTTATTCAAAAATAAAGAGGGGAAAAAAACAGTGATAACAATGGTTTGAATCCTCATGCGTGCATGGGGATTTTTCCATAATATAGAACACTAAAACTAACTCAGCTATGGCCCCATCCACACAGCTGAACAAAATCCCACATTTTCTGCTTTGAATTGGGCTATATGGCAGTGCAGACTCAGATAACCCAGTTCAAAGCAGATATTGTGGGATTTTCTGCCTTGACAGTCTGAGTTATATGGCTGTGTGGAAGGGCCCTACATCTGAGTCAGTCAGTAAAGGTAAAGGTTTTCCCCTCACATTAAGTCCAGTCATGTCCGACTCTGGGGTGTGGTGCTCATCTCCATTTCTAAGCCAAAGAGCTGGCGTTGTCCGTAGATATCTCCAAGGTCATGTGGCCAGCATGACTGCATGGAACGCTGTTACTCTAAGACAGTTACCCTATCACCAAACATTGTTACATATTAAACCCCCACTACAGGGACCATTCTCTGAACCTCACACCCATTGCCTGTTGATGTTTTCTTGATCCCTTTAGATAACACTACATTTAATAACATTTCCCTAATTCATAAACCCAACAGTTGCAAGTTTGTCCTCATCTTTGCTGCAGAAAAATGATAAACAAGTCCCAACCTTTCCTAATATTGGTCAGGGATTTCTCCTTGATCAACAAGGTCAGTTTCTCAGCGTATTGTCAAATCTTTGTCAGTCCTTCCTCTTGTGTTGGGATGACTGCTTCTTTCCATCTCTGCACATAGCATAGAGAATTATAGCTGCAGCTATCATATACTGCGGTGATCTTCCATGGGTGGGAGCTTCTATAGCCAAACACTATATTATCTTCGGGTCATTCCTGAATGATGCTGCCCAAAGTATTCTGGGAGATGGCAAATTCTATTGTGGTGTTTTCTTGGCAAAATTTGCTTAGCTGGATTTTTCCCTTTACCTTTCTGAGGTCACCCAGTGGCTGAAAGGGGCTGTGAACCCTGTTCTCCACAGTGTAGCCTAGTGCCCAAATCACAACCATCTAGTACAGACATGGGCAAACTTGGGCCTTCCAGGTGTTTTGGACTCCAACTCCCACAATTCCTAACAGGCTCAGACCGCTACAGTGGTTCTCAACCTGTGAGTCCCCAGGTGTCTGGGCCTGCAACTTCCAGAAATCCGAGCCAGTTTAACAGCTGTTAGGATTTCTGGGAGTTGAAGGCCAACACATCTGGGGACCCACAGGTGAGAACCACTGCAGGGGGGAGAGGAAGGGGCCTGAGGCTGTTAGGAATTGTGGGAGTTGAAGTCCAAAACACCCAAGTTTTCCCATGCCTGATCTAGTATCTGGCTTTACTTTGGGGGCATACAAATAAATATAAAATACTACCAGAGAAGACCTGGTTATTGTAGGTTATTGGGGCTGTATGGCCATGTTCAAGAAGCATTCTCTCCTGACGTTTGGCCTGCATCTATGGTAGGCATTCACACCCTTCTTCCTGCTTAATGGAACGCTTCCTAGAATAAAGAAGCAACCCCCGCTAAGCCACGCCCTCCTCTCCCTCCCCCGCGCCTGCTATTGGCCCACCTCCGAGATCGCTTTCACCAATCGGAGGCCTCCCTGAGCCCAGTTCCCGCCCACCCATTCCTTTCCCGCCGGGTCCTGCCGCCGCGCTGAAGTAGGCGGGGCCAGGGCGGTCTCTGCTCTCTGAGTAACCGTCGAGCCTGTCAATCAGGGGGGAAAAGTTGCATCGCCTGAGGGTGGTCATGGCGAGGCCGGGGTCTGTCCGGAACCCGAAGGTAAGAGAGGGACCGAGCAAGCAGGCCAGGAGGAAATCCAATAGCAGGCAAATGGACAAACTGTGTTGCTGGTCGTGCCCAGTTTATGATAACTCAAGTCTGCACTGAGCCATAAAGCTCCTGGGATTATAATTTCGGTGTCAGATTGCTGTCCTTTTGGCCCACCTCTTAGGGTTGTTGTGAAAAGTTAAAATGGAAAGGAACACAGGCATCTACGTTTCCCAAAACTGGCTGGGCGTTTGTGGAACTAATACAGGCATATTTACAGAGTCTAGAGCAGGCGCTCCATACAGTCATGGAGAGGGGTGAGCTTCCACTGTTAGGCCCAGCTTCTGCCAACCTAGCAGTTCGAAAACGTGCAAAAGTGAGTAGATCAATTAGGTACTGCTCTGGCGGCGCTCCATGCAGTCATGCTGGCCACATGACCTTGGAGGTGTCTACGGACAACGCCGGCTCTTCGGCTTAGAAATGGAGATGAGAACCACCACCCCAGAGTCGGACACGACTGGACTTAATGTCAGGGGAAAACCTTTACCCACCTTTACCTTAGAGCAGGCCTGGGCCAACTTGTGCCCTCCCTCCAGGTGTTTTGGACTCCAACTCCCACCATTCCTAACAGCCTCAGGCCCTTTCCTTTCCCTCCTCAGGCGCTTCTGGTAGGTTGTCCCAATCAGCAGCCTAGCTAAAACATTCTCCATCAGTTTTGGGCCAGGCTTAAGGGTAACTTCACAAAGAGTGCTTTCCAAGTTCATGCTTGAGGTTACCAGTGACTGGATTTGCTTTATCCCAATTATTAACTAACTAGCTGTCCCCTGCCACGCATTGCTGTGGCTCAGTCTGGTGATCTGGAAAATAAAGTAATAAGAATATGTTGGTTGCACTCCCCCCCCCCCCCAATTTTTCAGAAGGTCTGTCTCCACTGTTCCATCCCCTACGAGCTCTTCCCATATATATATATCTTGGTCATTCCTATCTCATCTAGTGTTTTATCATTTTATGTCGTACATTTGGCCCGCCCATTGTGATTGATTTTTCACCTGGTTACTTTGTACTGTTTTATTTACTTTTACGTTCTACTTATTTTATTGTGATGATATTTTTTTGTTGTTCTGTATTTTTGCTGTTATGTTATGTTTTAATGCAAATCTGTTATGTCTCATTTTTCATAAGTCAGAACTGCTTTGCCTAGTTTAAAATTCTTGGGAAAACTCATTTAAATATTTGAATGTTTGCTTGTGTAATTAACAGGTACTTTCTTCAGGAAGACTGACTGGAACAAACAAAATAGCAGGTGGAAGAAAACAGTAAGTATTATTTGCCATATTTATGTCCCACTTTTCTCAACCCCAAGTATGTCTTATTTTTTATATTGATGATGAACTAGAATTCCCACCTTCTCTGATCATTGTCCTATGTTGCGTGAGACCGATGGGAATGAGACTGATGGGAATTAGAGTCCAAAAACACCTGGAGGGGCAGGTTAGTCTCCACTGTCACAGGCATTGCACTGCTAGCTGCCAACATGCCACATTCCTGCAGGCTTTATACAGGCAAAAATATGCAGAAGAAGTGTGTTGTAGGGAGAAGAACTCTTGTCTCTTGGAGCTAGGTGTACTCTGCAGCGTAGAAGGAAAGTCAGCGAGCACAGTAGATGCTGCAAAGCACATCTAGCTCCAACAGACAAGAGTTCTTTCTCCCACACTGGACCTTCCAGAAATATATAAACCTCACTTGCCTAGTTTCCAACAAACCTCACAACCTCTGAGGATGCCTGCCATAGATGCAGGTGAAGCGTCAGGAGAGAATGTTTCTAGAACATGGCCATACAACGCGAAAAACCTTCAACAACCCAGTGATTCCGACCATGAAAGCCTTTAACAATACATGCAGAAGAAGTACGTTAGTCCTGATTACATTGTGGTGTAGTGATTTGAGCCTTGGACTATGGCTCTGGAGATCAGGATTTGATAACCTGCTCAGCCATGGAAACTCACAGGATGACCTTGGCCAAGTCACACACTCTCAGCCCCAGAGGAAGGCAAAGGTGAGCTCCCTTTGAAACCCCCCCCCCCCCCAAATCCCTATTACCTTAGCGTTTCTGTAAGCCTGAAATGACTTGAAGGCATACATCATGTAAGCGGTTTCTTTGACCCTGTAAGACTAGTTAAGAAACAAAATATTATGCTAATAACTGGCTACTGAGAAACTAAAGTTGCTTTAATTACAATAACAATGTCAGCTAATGTGTAATTTGCAGTGACTTCAAATAACTCCTTGTTTTTCAAGATTCTGTAGCACTTCTTGTTGCTTAGAAAGTAAAAAGTTTCCAGGTTTTCCTTTGTTTGTAGTTATAGGATCAGATTGTCAGCATACTGGCTCTGTGTTGCAGGGTTTCTCTGAGAAAAGTGTCACGTTCAGATGTTGACTGTGGTTACTCTCTGTATTCCACAGACTCCGAGGATCAGGTAAGGAAAGAATGCAGTGTACAAATTATACTGTTGATTTCTAGCATATTATATATTTTATTGTCCACTTTACAGTAAAAACTCACTTATCCACAGATTCACTTACCTATGCCTCCAAAAAATGTCTCCTCCCACCCCTAGAAGTGTTTGTGTCTTTCTAGATGCTCCAGTACAATTTAATGGTATCCCTTTGGTCCAAATACAGTAAAAATTTAGGCTTCACTATTATCTGCACCTTCAGCTATCCACAGGAGAATCTTGGATAGCTGTAATTGTAATAATGAAATGTATGGGGACACAACGTATCTCCTGAAAACGTTCATTTATATTTATAAAAACATATGATTTGTAAGATTTTTGTCATTTATGAGTAACAATATGTAAATATACTCGTATACATAAACATATCTCTTGAAAACATTTCAAATATAGGATTTGTCAGATAATATCCATTTCCAAAATTTTTGTCATTTATAAGTAAGATTTTTTAAAAATGTATAACACTAATAAAATAACTACCATTTTAATGAGTTCTATGAGGTTGATGGGATGAACACAACCTTTGAATATTTGGTTGATTAGATAAAGACACTTGCATTTTATTAAGCATTTTTAAGCTTTCCCATTTCAGTGGTTTTGCTTCTTTCACATTGTCTCAAAGATTTCTTGTCACATTCGCACGACACATCTACATACTGCAAATGACACACAAATTGGATTGCATCTTACAATTGATTGTGTATTACAATCAATGACATATGGTATTTTAAATCTAAAACAATAAAATAATATGTTCTCAATCTGTGTAGTGCCTTAAATAATTATCTGTTAAATGTGAAAATGCAAAGAAATATCTCAATCTGAAACACAAACTAGAAAGGGATTGGTCAGTGATACCACTAATCCTTGGAACCATGTTTTAGGTTTCCAGAAACTCACTGCTTTCTTCTTCACACAGGTACACACACCTTCTGCTAGGTCAACACATGCACAGCAGTGTTTTAGAGCATTAAACTGTCAGCCAAAACTAGGAAAGTTTTCAAAAATCTCTTGCATAATTTTTAGATAATCTCTTGAATAACTTCTGCAAAGTAAATATATGCAGAAGTATTTTATTTCCTTAACTTTAAATCAGGGAATGTTTTCCTTGTATTGCTAGAGGTTGTTTATTAGCTCAATAAATAATAAATTGTTTCCTGTGATTTAAAAAAACCTACTATTTGCAAACTTTCCACAGGTTGCAAATATTCATCATGGCCTTGACCGCTGTGCAGCTTTACTAAAGGACATACTGCAAAATGATTCTGAAGGTCACATCTTTTCATTTCCTTGGATATTCTTTTCACCCTATTAATTGATGGTTGCGTTGCTAAGTAGCATTCTTTTTTAATGATTCCAGGAGTGAAAACAGTCTGTCGAAAGGCAGGAAAGGCAGCTGTTGTCAGAACAACTGGTAAACCTTTACTCAGTAAAGTAAGCAATTTGAAGAAGAGAGGACCAAAGAAAAAAAGTCTATCTACAAATGTGCAGAAGGAAATATGTAAGTTGGGTTCTTTCTGCTTTAAATAAATAAATATTTTAATGAGCTTTATTTTATTTACTTATTTACCATTTAGCTTGTTGATTACATTTTTATTATCATTTTTAACAACATTTGTTAAGACTTAGTTTCCAAATAATTTAATTACACTATACATATTCAGTTCATTTTCCAGTTCCCTGTACTCAATTCTGTTCCTTTTCCCCTGAGCTCGAATAATAATAATAATAATAATAATAATAATAATAATAATAGTGCCTGAACTTGCTGACTGCAAGGTTGGCAGTTCGAATCCGGGGAGCGGGGTGAGCTTCTGGGGCTAATCCCCCTGGATTCGAACTGCCAACCTTGCAGTCAGCAAGTTCAGGCATTCAGCGCTTTAACCTGCTGCAGTTCTTCTGTAGCCTTAGTTAAGACAATTATTTATATAATATAACATTTTGCTTCCAAATAGTAGCCAACAATTATTGTTCTTTTTTTAGTGATTATGAGTATTATTGTAGTGAATATTATTTATGATATAATTTGACAGAGTCTAAGTGACCGAAATTTGTCTTAAGACCACTCCAGCGGGAAGGTAACGGCACTCCATGCAATCATGCCGGCCACATGACCTTCGAGGCATCTATGGACAACACCAGCTCTTTGGTTTAGAAATGGAGATGAGCACCACCCCCCAGAGTCAGACACACTAGTCTCAATGTCAGGGGAAAACCTTTACCTTTACCTAAGGCTACAGATGTGCAGTGTTACTTCAAAAGTGACCCTGAGAGGGTAGGAGTCCTAAACCCCAAAGGGTTGGTGCTGTGTTTGGATTATATATTTGATATTAAAGAATTAACATTTCTTTTTTCTTCTTCTTTACAGTGCCTGTGTCAACTAGAAAGACTTCTTCAGATAATGCGAATGCTGTCGGAAAAGATACAGCCCCCATGAGCATCGAACGAACTCTTTCTGTGCAACCAGTTTCTGTGCCTTGCACTCAGCATTCTCCTGTAATGCATCAGACACTATGTGAGCAGATACAAACCCAAATGTCTCTGTTGAACATGCAACTTCTTCAGAAGTCTAATAATATCCCTGAAGCACCACTTTCCATCATTCCTGAAAAGGGTGAGTGCAAAAGCGGTTTTCATTAGAAAAGACAGTTTTGAGAAAGACCCCCATATTAATTTTTTTAAATGCTCTTTGCTTTTCACTGGAAGGAACAAGCCAACCTGTTACTGCATTCAACAGCCGCTTACCTTCTTCTACACCAGCTCTGTCCCCACAGCATGCAGCTAATCCTACAGTGGCTCAACCTGTGAGTACCCTGCTTAAGCTGAAGTCAAATTTGGGTTGTCATGCGTTTCCCATATACAGATTGTGGATAGCAAAATGTAATTTTGTCTGATAAAAATCTTCTCTGATTTAATTTACAAGTGGGTGTTGATTGTCGGGTTTAATGTAATTTGATAAGCATTATTCTAGAAACAAATTAGTAATAGAGATTAATAATAATTTATCTTTTCATCTAATTTGTTTTGTTATTTAAAGGATAGGCATGAACACATTTCAATTCCTCTTGTGCATTTGCCAATATATTAAATCACTGCATGAACATTGTCTTCAAAATCTTTTCATTCCAGATGGGAAGCAACAGAACTCTATTTTAAGCACAGTAAGTTGTGCTGAAACTGCGGATGCATCTACATTGCAAATACACTTTGACACCAGTGTAAATGCCATGGATCAGTGCTATGGAATCATGGGGATTGTAATTTGGTGGGACACCAGAACTATTAATGATGATGATGATGATGATGATTATGATTATTATTATTATTATTATTATTATTATTATTATCATCATCATAACAACAACATTAATAATAATCATTTTATTACCTTCCTCTCCTGTGGGTCAAACAAGAGATAATATTGGCAGAGAAGGCTAAAGACCCTATAGAACTACAACTCCCATGATTCCATAGCATTGAGCCATGGCAATTCAAGTGGTATTGAATTGCATTAATTCTACAGTGTAGATGCATCCTAAGCAGATTGGTGTGTTTCACTACTCTAAAACCCATGTGCTTGCATCCTCCCTCTCTGTTTCTTTGCACTCCTTGTCATATTTCAACCGTGGTAGCTCAGGGTCTCCGGAATATAATTTGCTTGTTGCACATTTTCTGTGATCAGGATGGGGAATATGTAACCCTCCAGAACTGCAGCTCCCATTAGCTCTGATCAACATTAGTCAGTGGTGAGGGACAATAGCAGCTACAGTCCAGTAATTTCCGCAGGACCATATATTTCCTACTCTTCAATCTTTCTTCATCCTTGGGGAAATATAGTTTGAACAGATTATCTCTGCCAGCCAAAAGGGGGCAAAAGTTGGAGTGGCAAGCAAACCTCAATGTGTCTTGATCCCCTTTGTATTTGTACTGCCTAGTCCCCTTTTGCCTCATGCAAATATGAGTAGATTAATAGGTACCACACCAGCGGGAAGGTAAAGGCACTCCATGTAGTCATGCTGGCCATATGACCTTGGAGGTATCTATGGACAACACTGGCTCTTCGGCTTAAAAATGGAGATGAGCACCAACCCCCAGAATCGGACATGACTAGACTTAATGTCAGGAGAAACCTTTACCTTATTCACCTCTTGTCTCCTTACTCCAGAAAGAAAGTAGCCAGTGGTTCCTTTTGCCTTCTTTTATACTGCAACACAGTGACAATAAAGTTAACATAGTGGTGTATCCCCCTTTTGAGGATTGGGTACTCTTTTAGAGAATATTGTTGCTGCATTCCTTCCTTATGTATATTTGATCATGTTCGGTTTAGAGTACCATCAGGTTCTAGCAATTATGAACACCGTATCATATACCTGTAAGGCTTTTTCTTTGTGTTAAATAGCAATCAGGCAGACTAAATAAGCCCTAAATAAGGAAAGTTTTACTAATCATTGTGCCCATTTGAAGGATTTTTAAGAAGGCAGCAGAGGAACTGTCTTTTTTAAGTATCATAGAAGCAAAGATATGCAAGTGTTAGATGCAGGGGATGTAGGAATAATGTGTCAGGCTATTAACACTATTTTTTCTTAAATTATAACTTTTCCCTTGCAACAGAGTATGCAAGATTGAGATTTGTATCAAGAGGAAATTATATGTACTTGCTTTTTTATAGGGTGTTTCTGTAAACAGCTGTGAGCAGTGTGCGGCACAAATGGGGCCTGCTCTTTTGACGGCAACCTCCAGCAATTCCACTTCTATACCCCAAATGCAGCCTTCTCTATCCTGTTCAGCTCTGCCCCATATTTTTCCTTCTGCTATTAATGATCCTACACCATTGACATTCCCTGCTTCAGCTCCTAGCAAAGAGGCTATGACTGAAACAGGACACCAGGAACAGTGGTTTAAAGAGGCAGACCTCATAAAGTGTATTCAGGCACACTTGGCTGTGCTGCAGGCCCATGAAAACAAGAATGGGAAAGACAGTGACAAGCTCCAGGATGTGGAAAAGTGCCAGGGTGCTGACCAAATGCAACCCAAACCCTTCATTGCGAGAGATGAAGATGATGCTGAAGAAGATAGTGAAAGTACTCCTAGCGAAGAGGAAGACTTAGACGGAGTTGATCTGGCACCAGTGAGAGACACAAGTTGCCAGACTAGCTTTGACAAGGAAGCTTTAAAGCTAAAAAGATCAAACCTGCAAAAAACTGCTCAAAAAATTAAAACATTGAAGTGCCTTTTAGGAGAACTGAAGACCCTACTAAAAGACCATGGTATGTGGGCTTTCTGCTTATGCTTTGATATATCTTTGAAGTGGGCTAAATTGAAGATCAGCATGGCAAAGACAATGTTGAGCTCAGTTTTATCTCTTTTTATGTCACGGTGGCATGTTCTAATTTTGTTTCTTAGTAGTATGCCTAGTAGCTTCTTCTGCAGACTTTTTGATATGATGAAGAAGTAAGCACAGTGTATTTATTCTGAATATGGCTGGGTATTCTTTAGAAAATGCACCATGAAGTGCTAATATAGTAATGCAAGGGAAGATACTTCAATTTTTAATTAGTTCTTCCTTTAGTGCAGTGGTTCTCAACCTGTGGGTCCCCAGATGTTTTGCCTTCAACTCCCATAAATCCTAACATCTGGTAAACTGGCTGGGATTTCTGGGACTTGTAGGCCAAAACAACTGGGCATCCATAGGTTGAGAACCACTGCTTTAGTGACTTTTTGTTCTTGTTTGAGAATCTGCAAGTACAATACAATACAAGGTGGAAATTTATGATTCAAGTAAACTCCATTGATTTTTAACAAATGTTTAGTTGAATGCAATCTCAGGCTGGATTTACCCTGCCAAATAATGCAGTCTGAACTGCATAATATTGCCAAGGTAGGCCCACATAGTGCAGGTTAAACTGTATTATTTTGGTCTACACACTGACCCTGTAATACAGTTCAAACCACATTATTTGCTAATGTAGATCCAGCCTCAGTCTTAATATTTTGCATATTATTTCAAGTTTTATTATGTTTTTTACTCTTTTGAAATCTTAATATCTTTGGTTCTGTTCCCATATAAGGGCTGAAAGACACATACATGAGTCAGAAATTAGCTCTGGAAAGCTCATAAAGACTTCAGTCTCTCAGAATTCAAACCTTACAGAGGGAGATATAGATGGCAGTGCTCAGTCTTACCATATGTGTAATGCAGCATAAGGAGGAAACTGATGTAGAGGTGGTTTACCCTTCCACTCCTAGACAGCACGCTCAGTACCCTTTCTAGGAAGATCAGTTCAGTTTTGACAGTAACATGCCTGAAGAGTGGGTGCTTGATTACTTAGCAGATGTATTTTGCCCCTTTCTTGTAGATGACTCAGAAATGTTGAGACTACTCAGTGAAGTGGAAGACACCGTATCACTCTTGCCTGCAGCTGCTGGAAATACAAATGTGCAAGCAGAAATAGCACTTGCTCTTCAACCTCTCAGAAGTGAAAATGCCCAGTTGCGCAGGTTGGCTGTGGGAAAAATACTGGCAGTTCTCTCAGCAGTAGTTTCAAACAATAATGGAAATATTCATGTATGGTTGAAATGAAGGAACTTAAAATTAGTATTTTGGTCCTGCATTTTAAAGGGCGAGACACACAGCTATTAAGTGTGTTATAGTAAGCTTTCTATAGCCAAAGACTATAGCCATCTATGAGTTGAACATATTTCCACCCCCCAAAAATTCCAAAAAGCAAACTTTGATTTTGCCATTTGATAATAATAATAATGTAATAATAAACTTTATTTATACCCCGCCACCACCTCCCCCAACGGGGACTTGGGGCAGCTTACATGAGGCCAAGCCCAAATAACAAATTACAACAGAATAAAACCAAAAGCACAAACAACAAACTACAACATCATAAATTACATAGTAATAACAGAAAAAACATATCAATACATTAGTTTTCTTTTGTTTTGCATCTGAAGTAAAGTTTTCTCCATCCCACCAGTGTAACTGAGCAGACACAGGAACAACAGGAATTGGGGGCAGCTTCTCCCTCCAGTCTGGGCCATCCTGATCTATTAGAGTTCTTGTTATCCTGTTAACACTGTCATTTGCTACCTGGATTCCACTGTCTATTTGCAGTAATGTTTTATAATCAACATATGCTTATATAAATATAAAATATAAAATTACAATCACAATGAAAATGGGCAGGCCACAGGTGCAGAATAAAATGATTAAAAAAGATTAAAAACTTGGGTGAGATAAAAGAAGGGGCAGGTTATTTGCAAGGGGAGCTCAATTAAAAACGAGGTTTCGGAACCAAGCTTTCCCACAAAAGGGGGACACACACGTGTACTTCAATGACAGAAACATTGCGGCTGAGTGATAGTGTGAGGTTGATATTTGATATAAATAACACTATTTTATAACACCATTGTATATCATGAGACTTGATCATCTGTGGATATTGGTATCCACGGGACTATGGAACCAAACTGCTGCTGTACAGTGAATTAAAATGTCCAAATCCTTTAAAAATCAAAACCCAAATGTAGGACTAAAATGAGTAAGAAAGATTTGAGAGGTACAGCACAAGTAGAGTATTTTCCACCTGTGATGTTCCAGATCTCTGCAAAATGTATTTTATTTTGTAGTGCGCTTTTCTCCTCCCAACGGGACCGAAGTTCACAAGTTCTTGAGCACACCCTTGTTTTACTCCAACAGCTTCTTTTTGAAAGGAAGAGGAAGAAGATTGAGAGAGGAGGTGGCAAGTGCCCCCTTCCTTATCCTCCCAGCTGGGCCTGCCTTTCAACTGGAGCTCACTGGAGGAGGAGGCTCTGCAGAGGAACCTGCAGCATAGAAGGATGCTATTCGGCAGTGGTTCTCAACCTGGGGTTCCCAGATGTTTTTGGCCTTCAACTCCCAGAAATCCTAACAGCTGGTAAACTGGCTGGGATTTCTGGGAGTTGTAGGCCAAAAACATCTGGGGACCCCAGGTTGAGAACCACTGCCGTATAACATCTTTCCTGCATTGTACTGAGGAGCAATTGCATATTATTATTATTGCAGTTGTTAGACCCATTGACTTTGTTACTAATAGTTGCATGCCAGTGATAATAATTAAGATTAGTTTGGAGATAAAATGTACAGTATATTTATAATAACGTTACTGTTGTTTTCTGATATAGACCTACAACAACAACAACAACAACAATAATAACTACTACTTTATTCTTACACCCCGCCACCGTCTCCTCGAAAGGACTTGTAGTGGCTAACATATGGGACAAAATACCCACAGAAACAAATACAAAACAGTCCAGCCAAATAATAATACAATTAAAATAAAAATATAGTTAAATATAACAATCCAGATAAAAGCACAATTCAATAAAACATAAGAGTATAAAACAGCAGTGTTAAAACACAATCAAAACAATACTCAACAAAACCAATTGCAGGTAGTACAATGGGCATAACCAGGCTATAAAAGAGCTGGGCATGGGATAGCACAAGCAGCGCATCATAGGGCCAGGTTCAGTCAATAGTCCCTCCTAAAGCAGACCCTTTCAATTTTTATTTTCTGGATTCATATCCGATCTTTTCCCCAGGATGGGTTCTAAGGCAGCTATCTTATGTAAGTGTTGACTTACTATCCGGTATTTGATTCAGTGGGCCTGTACTGGTTGGGGATGGCAATTGGATTTAATTGGTTTTAGATCATATTGTTTGACTTTTTCCTGATTTTCATTCATTTGGTCTGGTTTAAAGTTGCATTTCAAGGTCATGATGTGAATGAATTATGAAATAATTCTTAGATTAGACTCTTTTTCTATCAAAGCAGGGTTTAAATAGATATAGGCCAGTTGTCTCAAGAAGTTATTTGTGCAGAAGAGAAACGACAAGAAGATGAACAGTTTTGACACAATAGACCCAGTTAACTAAAAAATCTGAGTCACATGAAAGAACTTTCATCATTAAATCCAATTTTAATCTATTTCATATGTAGACGATTAAGAATACTGAACCAGCAGCTCAAAGATCAAGGAAGAGCTAAAGAGTGTAATTTGGACAGCAATTTTGAAAGTAAGTATTAAGGTTAAAGATCTGGATATTTTTTCCAGAATTTGGGAAACATTACTATTATATTAGTGTTTATACATTACTCATACAATTTGATGTTTCGGACTCTTTTTTGCCCCTTCACTCCCGAGTTATTTTCATATGGAAGAATCCTCCTACATCCAAGGTCCAGGCCAAGTGATATTATCACTCGATGAACACATGGTACTTTATGTAATCATATAAAGTCAGCACATTTCTGAAGAACTCTTTTTGACCCTAATCAGTTTGAGATTATTAAGGGAAAAGAATATTGAGGACAAGATGTATGAAAAGCACCAATTAGGGAAGATGATAGAGGAGCGAAACATGGGCAGTACCTTCAGATTTTCTACTGCAATATCTTGACTTATTTTTGGCTAGTAATGAAATTTTGACTTAATTGATTTCACAATTACCCATTTAAATATTTAAATTTAATGTTGCTGAATTTGTGAATGCAATCAGGAATACGATTATGTAGCGAAAGATATGGGAATTGGACAATAACTACAATTTAACTACTAACTAACCATAGTTTCAACATTGCAGTTGCTGCTTCCTGAATATGTTCCCACCATGAAATTATGCTGATTTTAGTACAAAACAGGAGTATGGAGCTAGTTGCTCTCCAAATGTTGCTACACTGCAGTTCCCATCAACCTTAATTATTGTTAAGACTACTGAGAGCTCCAGTTCAACATTGAATATATTTCTCACTTCTGGTCTGGAAAGTAATGGAAACCAACTGTGTATTCTTTCAGAGCAACTCTTTCTACACTCCTAGTATGACAAATCCTTCTCTGACAGGATCCCTGAGTATGATATGTTGCAGTAATTCACTCTAGAGATTACCAGATCCCTTTCTTTCGTGGTAAAATAAATGTTTGTGGAATTGAATTTGTTTTTCCAATTGTTTTGTTTTCCTCCCGTAGTCATATCCCTCCAGTCCTTGAACATGACACTGCAGGCTCAACTCAATGAATCTAGTAAAAGCATCGAGTCACTGCAGAATAAAAATGAAGAGCTCCTTAAAATCTTAGAAACCCAAAAGGAAGAAAGCAAAAGACTAACTAGAATAATCCACGAGAGAGACCAAGAGCTGCTTGAAAAGAGACAGCAGTCTGATCTTGAGTCAACAAAGCTCAAACTAGGTCTGTTTGTTGACTATTTTACTGAGGGAGTGGACTGTTATAGTACTTCTGTATTTGTTTTAACAAATGTTAAAGATTCACACTTTATTCATATGTATCATAGAAGCAGATGAGGCGTTGACCAACTTGAAGCATTTCCAGTATAAGTTAGAAGCTGCCGAGAAAGAGAACCAGATTTTGGGCATAACACTGCGTCAGCGAGATGCAGAAGTGAATCGACTGCGTGAATTGACTCGGTAATGTTGGCTTTGCTTTCTCTCTGATTTACTTTTCAATCAGTACAATCAGCAAACTTCCCATCTTAGGACAGAACACTTGTTGGTGCTTGACATTAGTGGTTGCACTTTCCCCAACACTGTGCTGAAGAAAAGGATAAGCTGGGCTGCTTCAAACTGTCAGTTGCTTCAGCACCTGCTTTTCTCCATGGGCCCTGTGGCGTTTTCCCTCCATGTGCTGCTTGTGCTGACATACCGCAGCAACAGGAACCTGGTCTTGGAATAACAAAACAGAGAGGCTTCGAAGTATATCTACCCAATGAGATGGCATAGACATACTAAAGACCTCTAATGTTTATTTTGGAAGAATTGAAGATAGGAAGAGAAGCCACCAAAATAGAAACTAGAAAATTTCTCTCTTAGCTAGCTGAAAGTTATCTATTCTCTTATATTGACAAGATTCATGAGTGAGCCAATTTAAACATGAACATACTCAAAGAGGTCAGAAAATCTCCCACATTAATTTCTGGGTGTGACTTTGAATTGGAAAAAGGTCTTGGCATATCTCTATCTACCACCACAGTCAAAGGAACATACCATATTTTGTAATTTCAGATTTTATAATTCGAGATCTATTTGCTATCTGCCTTCAAGTAGTTTCTGACCTATGGCAACCCCAAGATGAAGCTATCATGAGGTTTTCATGGCAATTTTTTTCACATGTGGTTTGTGTTTACCGTACTCCAAAGCCAAGAGAATGTGACTTGCCCAAGCAGGGATTCAAACCCTGGTCTCAACAGTTTGATTCTCAAAACAATTTATCTGAAATGGGAGGGACAACTATATCAGGCTTGGGCCAGTTTTACACGGCTGTAATGCTTTAATAGCTATGTAGATTCACATACACATAAACACATACATATAATTTTTATTTTGATAAAAAAATTCCCAGTTTTTTATTAAACAGTACAAGGAACCCCTGCATTTAAAGTGAATTGCCTACACAGTGGCCTGCATCAAAACAAATAATTAAAACAAACTAAAGTAAAGAAGTTTGGCCATGTTTTCTCCAGTTGTTTAATCAGATCTAGAAACATGATTGATTCTTTGCACATTAGCTACTTACTTTTTAATGGGGGAGAACATTGATGCATGACCATAAGCAAAATTCCTAAATCCACATCAGAGTAGATTTTCCATAGTGGCACAATAATATGCAAACCTTTAAGGTTTGATGAAGTCAGACCACATCTAGAATGAACAGCATGGAACTCTCCAAAGGTTGTGAGACTCCGGCTCCATTGGCCTTACTCACTAAGGCTTCTAGGATTTGCAGTCAAATAACTGGTGAGCCCCATTATTCTTCTTCCTCTATTCTCTACATAAATAGCAAATTCTGCTTTTAATTCGTGGAAACCTTAAATCCCAGGTGTAAGATGGGAATGTGGGAAGAGGTAGCTAAGTAGCAAGTTATGCTTCACTAGTTGCTATGTAGACATCAGGCCCAAATGAAAATAGTGGCCCATGAATCAGTGTAAGTCCACATACTGTTGGCTGTAGTCCAGAGTGAGTTTCTAGGAAAGAAACAGTTATAGTCTATAGCAGTGGTTCCCAACCTGTGGTCTGTTGAACACCAGTGGACCGCAAGAACTAAAATATGGTCCGCAGCCTCACCATTCCTACTACAGATAACAATCAAAACATTTTTTTCTTGATGTCTTAATTTTTAGGCCTGTTCCTGGAGTTATTTAGGGTGCTGATTCATAAAATTGCATCAGCTCACATCAGCTCAAAATTATTAAATATGGTTTTCTGTGGGCAAGCAGATGGCAACTACTGAATAGCATATGTTCTGTTTCAGAAACTAGAACTGATGTGGTCTATCAAATGAAATTTTCTATATCATCACCCCAGATAATCAAACCAAATCTGAAGTTGACCAAACACTGATTCATAACCCTTTTGTTACAATATTGGAGAGTGGTCCCTGGTCAAAAAAAGTTTGGGAACCACTGGTCTATGAGCATAAATATGGTGCCGATCCCTGACACATTGAGGAAACATCCCTGCAAATCCCAAAAAATAAATAGTTTAAGAGATATGCCTGTGAACTATATGCAAAGGGAAGCAATGACAGACCTCTTCTGAACAAACCTTGGCAATAAAACTCTGTGGAATCAACTTGTAACCACAGAACAAATGTGAAATCTTACACTGTGATGCCTATAGACAGCCAGCAGATGGTGGTAGTGATTCTGGAATGGCCTGAAGCCTATTTTCATAGCAGAAATTTTACAATTGATACCTTTTGCATTGTCATTGACGGTTAGGTTGTATTCTTTATCACTTTCCTCATTCAACAATTAAGAAGGATTGCAGCATTTGAATATCAGCTTGCATACTATATATCTAGCTGGAAAGAAATAACAGTTGCAAATCTACCATGTAGATTCAGCTGTGGGTTCATTTGTAAAGTGAAATCTTGACCCAGAAACTATTCAGGAGGCGACCAGAAGGACTGAACATGGAGTCCACTTACTTCTTTCCCAACCATGATCTTTCAAACTTTTTTGGAAGAATTTGTGGTGCTTCAGAAAGGGTGCCATGGAGTAACTTTTGATGTCTTGGTTTTCAAATTAGAATGGCCCCATCCTGAGTGTTATTTCTTGGCACTTTCACTCATGATCTCTGGCATGAGGATGACATAGCCATGTGATTCCTTCTCATGGGAACAAGGAATGCTTTTGACAAGGCCAAATGCGTGTGTTTTTCTAACTTACTTGGCATCCTTTCTTATCGCTGGTTGGAGAATGGAGAATACTTGACTCAATACTATTGCATGTGAAAAGGACCCTGGGATTATTATTTTTATCATAAATTGGACATGACCCAGCAGTGCAAAGGCAAATGCTGTCTTAACCTGCATTAATGGATACATAGTTTTCAAGTCATGGGCAATAATAGTCATCCTATATTCTGCACTAGTCAGGCCTCATCTGGGGTACGGTGTTCATTTTAAGAAGGATATAGATGAATTGGGCCTGTTGATGGTGCAGCAGGTTAAACTGTTGAGCTGCTGAACTTCCTGACTGAAAGGTTGGTGGTTTGAATCCAGGGAGAGGGGTGAGCTTCCACTGTTAGGCCCAGCTTCTGCCAACCTAACAGTTTGAAAATGTGCAAAAGTGAGTAGATCAATTAGGTACTGCTCTGGCGGCGCTCCATGCAGTCATGCTGGCCACATGACCTTGGGGGTGTCTACGGACAATGCCAGCTCTTTGGCTTAGAAATGGAGATGAGCACCGCCCCCCCCCCCCCCCCCCCCCCCCCCCCCCCAGAGTCGGACACAACTAGACTAAATGTCAGGGAAAACCTTTACCCTTTTTTATAAATAAATTAGAGTGAGTTTAGAGACGGGCAACAAGGATGATAAGAGATATGGAGAACAAAAAATAAAGAAAGGTTAAAGACACTGAGCATTTTGAGCTTGGAGAAGAGAAGACTGAAGGATGACATAAACCTTAAATATCTCAAGAGTTACTATGAAGAGGAGGATGTAGACTTTTTCTCTGATGCGCCAGAGAGCAGAACTAGTAATCTAAGAACTTTAGGCTACAAGAGGGTAGATTTCAATTGAATATTAGAAGGAATGTATTGACAGTGAGAGCAGTTCAGTTCAGCAATGGAAGCAGTTGCCAAGAAAGGTGGCAAAGCTGCTTTCTCTGGGCACCTCCAAAAAGAATTTGGGCAGTTACCTGCTAACCTACTTCAGAAGAACAGCTATTTGAAATGTACTTTTGTGAATGTCTCTTTTTGCAGTATGTCTTCAGGTTTAAACAAACTTCATGTGCCTGAAGTTCCATAGGTATGACTTAAATGGTATGACTCCTCTGTTGTATAGACATACTTAACTCTGTCAGGTCAGACATTCTGCTGCATCAAATGCAGTATGGGCTGTCTACACAGAAGCAAGACAAATTAAGCAAGGTGCAGGATTGCTGCTTACACCTAATAAGTTGAAACAGATATTAAGTATTCCGCTTTTGCCATATTTGCAGTCCTACTTAAAATTAAACTTCTGAACCATTCTTGACAGGGCTTTGCAGGCCAGTATGTCCAAACTTCTTGCTGACCTCAGTACGGACACAGCTAAACCAAAACAGGAAAGGAGTCTGTCAAAAGCAGTCTTGGAAATTCATGAGAAACAGCTGCAGCCTGACACATACCCTCTAAGTGATTCCATAATGAACTACCTCAAAAAATTACAAAACGACCCCGACCTGATGGAGGCAGAAGCTCTCTTTCCAAAGGCTGAGATGAAAGAGCCAAATCAAATAGATGTCGCCAAGGCAGCTGAATACTCTTCTCAGAAGTGTCCTGTTGCTGAAGAGGGAATTGTGGCTCCAAGGAATGTTTTTACCTTTCTGAAACCTAATGTTGAGGGAAGTGATGGCTCAAATACTTTAGTGGAAGGGCCTGGGCTGGATGAGACTATTTACATACCGCTGAGGAGTGGTCCATCTCAAAACCCAGCAACTGCAACCGAGAGAAGGATAGACACACATCACCAAGTTCCCAAAAAGCTGGACTGTGATTTGGCCAATTCTAAGCAGACAAATAGATTTGGGATGTTAGGTGATGGAAAGGTCTCTGACAAATTTTGCAGTAGCTATTGTCCAAAAAGGTCTTTTGAAAATAAAGCTGAAACTGCAGGGAGGACAGCAATGCTGGAAGGCAGGAGGCTTCAAATGCCGCCAAAAGAAACAACCAGCGAAGCTGCTAAAGTGATTTCGGACAATCCAGACAGACTTCATCCTGATACATTCCTTTACGCTCCTATTGCACAACAGAAAGGAAACATACACAACAAAGACACAGGAATTTCTGCTCCCGATTCCAGTTTTTCAACTTTTGACTGGATGTCAGGAAAATCTGAATGGACTGTATCTTCCTTTTCAACATTCACATCCAGGGATGAAGAAGACTTCAAACATGGCCTAGCAGCCTTGGATGCTAACATAGCTAGGCTGCAAAAGACATTGCAGAATAGTTTGAAAAGAACGGCAAGTCCTTAAATGCATTTCCTCAGAACAGTTGGGAGCAGTTGGACCCTTTGTTTGAAATCTTCATTATTTATATCACCCTTATATTATATTTTGATAACTGGTTGTATCTTGAATTGTTTATGAAAATGAACTTATTTTCTTTCTAATAAATCAAAGGGATGCTTCATTGATGAAAATTAACTTATAATCAATTAAGAATGAATTTTAACTATTTTAATTAATTATTCTAATAAAAACTTGTTAATGCACAAACAGAACATACTTATTTTCTATAGGATTCTCTTGTTAATTGGAATGTGTGTGTGTGTGTGTGTGTGTGTGTGTGTGTATTCTCCAAAGCATACTGTTTAAGGCCATAGACTACATAGTGAAACTTAGTGCTTTGCCTAGTCGCCTGCCCACTCCCGTTATCTTTGTGTCTTAACTTCACATTTAATTGATGTGATTATCACAAAGCTCTTAGAATCATAGAGTCATAGAGTTGAAAGAGACCTCATGGGCCATCCAGTCCAACCCCCTGCCAAGAAGCAGGAACATTGCATTCAAAACACCCCCGGCAGATGGCCATCCAGCCTCTGCTTAAAAGCTTCCAAAGAAGGAGCCTCTACCACGCTCTGGGACAGAGAGTTCCACTGCTGAACAGCTCTCACAGTCAGGAAGTTCTTCCTAATGTTCATATGGAATCTTCTTGGTGTGAGGTTGTTATGTATTTCCTTCAACAGTGACAATTGAACTAAATTTAGTTGTGACTTAGGTCCATTTCTGAAGGCAGCAAAATTGGGACTAAGCTTTTCCTGGACTTTACCAATTGATGCTGCTGTACTTGAAAATTTCCCTTTGTGCCCTGTGGCCATTGTTGTTCACCATTGTTATAAATTACTTGGATTATAGAATGGAAGATACTTATCAGATTTGCAGATGACACCAAATTTGGGAGTGGGGTAAGGAATATTCCAGAGGACAGGATCAAAATGACTGGAACTGATTGGAGAATTAGGGCAGAAACTAACACGATGAATTTTAACAAGGATAAATGTTCAGTGTGTTGTCGAAGGCTTTCATAGCTGGAATCACTGGGTTGCTGTGAGTTTTCCGGTCTGTATGGCCATGTTCCAGAAGCATTCTCTCCTGACATTTTGCCCACATCCTCAGAGGCAGGCATCCTCAGAGGTTGTGAGGTCTGTTGGAAACTAGGCAAGTGGGGTTTATATATCCGTGGAATGTCCAGGGTGGAAGAAAGAACTCTTGTCTGCAAGGCTATTCGATGCTAATAATGGTTGTCAATTGCAACACTCACACTTTCCTGAGTTCTTTCTCCCACCCTGGACATTTCACAGATATATAAACCCCACTTGCCTAGTTTCCAACATGGTATGCTTTTAGAGCATAGCCATACAGCCTGGAAAACTCACAGCAACCCAGGATAAATGTTGTCTAACGAGTCCAGGAAAGAAAAACGAAAAGTAAACATATAGAATGGATAATGCTTGATTTGCAAGCAGCACATATACTAAGGAGAAGCTAAACATGAGACAGGTGTAGCTACTAGCCAGCATCAATAAGTGCATCAAGGAAGGCAGCAATGCCACTTCATTTTGTTTTGGTCAGATTTTCTCTGGAATGCTCTGTGCAGTTCGGGGCATCACTCTTCTAGCAGGATATTGACAAGCTGGAACATGTCCAGAGAAGGGCAACCAAGATAATAATGGTGAGGAATGACTTGGAGAGTTGGTTGTGTTTATCTTGGAGAAGAGAAGACCAATTGGTGACATAACCATTTTTAAATATCTGAAGGGTTGTCATGTGGAACATGGATTGACTTATTTTCTGGTGAACAAGAATCAATAGATTAAATAGATTAAAATTACAATAAAAGAGTCTTCCCCTAAAAATTAGGAAGAATTTCTTAACTAAGATTTGTTAGAGCAGTGCTTAGTGGGAATGGACTTTGGGGGGGAGGGTCGAGGTTGACTGGGCATCTTTCAGGACTGCTGTAGTTAGATGGCCCTTGTGGTCTCTTGCAACTTGTAATATCCTGTGATTGTTGTCATAACATTTGGCTAGAGATAGATAGCATGTTATGGCCAAATGCTTTGCAGTACCATGGCAATGTTCAATGGGTAAAGCCTCACAGTCTGCTTATATTTATTTATTTATTTATTTATTTATTTATTTACAGTATTTATATTCCACTCTTCTTACCCCACAGGGGACTCAGGGCAGGTTACAATGCTCATATACATGGCAAATATTCAATGCCATAGTCACACAACATATATAGACAGACACACAGAGGCTATTTAACACTCCAACTTCATGAGGGTATGCTCGAATTCCGGCCACCGAGGGAGCTGTTGCTTCACCGTCCACTTGGGACACCGATGGAGTACTTCCTCATTCTTTTGCACACTGCTGGAGATTTTTATGGCATCATAAATTAGTTAAATTAGCTTCCCCACATAAAGCGGTACCTAAATTTCCTACTTGACAGATGTAACTGTCTTTTGGGCTGCAAAGGTTGACAGCAAGCTAGACAAATTGTCGGAAACTTACTCCGACGGGCTAGCTTCGAACTCATGACCTTTCAGTCAGTAGTGATTTTTAATGCATCTGAGTCCCAACCAGCTGCGCCACAGCCCGGTGCTTCCCAGGTGGTGCATTTAAGCTGCATGATTATTGTGTCCTTGGAGTGCTTGATATTTTTGTGGGGCATCTAGTCATTGTCTTCCATTTGCAGTCTTTCGGTGTTTATGGTTTGTTTTTCATTTTTAAAAAAGTAAAAACATTAAGAAAAATATAGCATAGCTGCACAATGTATTTTAATGCTGAGCAGTATAAACCCTCTTTCTCAAAACATTCCATGAAATTAGTATACTTATTAGACAATGAAAAATATTGCAGTGGTGGAAGCAAAAAGCAGTGGTGGAAGCAAAAAAAAGTGATTTGTAGCTTATTAAACAGAAATGAGAAGATTACTGCAGTATGATCCTAGTCTCCACAGGTAAAAAGTTCCAGCATACATACTCTCCCCATGGATATCTGAAACTATGCATAATAGCAAAGTCTATATTTTGACCATGCTTGGGCCAGAAGCATACCATAGAATTGCACTAGAGAGGCTCACAAACACTTCTAGGTATTTTTTGGAGCATGTGTGATTGAAACCATGGATATCAACTCTGTAGATAAAGATGCCATGTGGTACATGACTACTTCTCACCTCACCCGGCAAATGCTGGGTAAATCTGTACATCTATTGGGAGACAGCATTCTTTAGTTTGTTTTTAATTTACTTTGTATCAGGAGTAACCAATGTGGTATCCAGGTTTCTATATTCTGAGGGCTGCCCTGCTTTGAACACTTTGATATTTAAACACAGCCTCCATTAGTTTGAGTGCCATCATCTTGAGGAAGGCAAGAACAGGTGAAGAGCTTTGTAATGCAAGAGCAGGACAAGAGGACTACTCAAGTCGCACTCTCTGGGTTTTCAAGTGTCCAGCTTGAACAGTTGACTTGAGGAACCAAGTTGATATTCTGAGGCCAAGCTTGCAGGTGTTAGAAACAGAGATAGATGAACAAAAATATTAGTTGTCAGAATTTTGAGGTAAAGTCTGTTGTAAAGGCACATATAGTGGGGATTTGTGGCAGAAAAGTGAAGCACAAATGTAAATTTTAGTCTTTGCAACATTGCATTGACTGAAAATCCTCCAAGGCTAACTTTTCAGCAGCACACCAACAAAGGATTTCTGAGGCGCAGGGCAGTGTGAAATTGCACCTCACCCTTCTGACAGCGGGTTGATTTGTGACAGGCAGCCACAGGAACCAATGCTGTTTCCTGTCATAGTTGTCTAACATAGGGCTGGAAGGATCATCTCATATGACCCTGCTCTTCATTATATGTATCTGGTTCCCAACCTTTTTTTGATCAGGGACCACTTGAACATGGGCCACTCCAACTTTAGTACCAAAGGGTTATGAATCAGTTTTTGGTCGATTTTAGATTCGGTTTGGTAATTTATTTATTTTGTATCAGAAGCATTGCATAAATTAGTATAAAACTGATAAAAATAGAAGGAGCACAGGTGGCTAAATATGTTTTGACCAAAAACGGGCAACAGCAATGGCACTGTCTGTAGCTTCCAACAATTCTTCCTTTGTACATGAGGCAAGTGGACAAACATACAGATGCGAAGTTGTCTGTTCTGCTCCACAGTCACACAAGGTGTGGGATTCTTTTAGGTAGCGCCATTTTGCCAGGTTGTCTTTTGATCTGCCCACTCCACTTCTGAGTCTGTTCAAGGACTTCCAAGTTGCCCATTCTTGGTTTGCCCCTGGAGGAAGACCCTTGTGGGGGGCCATCCAGTTGGGGTTTCCTGGTTTAGCTGCCCAGAGGGGTACCCTTGCTGTTGCTGGGGGGACACCAAGAGGAGTGGTAGTTCTTATAAACCTTTTCCTTTATTTGAGTCTACTGGGAGTAGGCTGGTAGCCATGTAGTGGATGGCTGTCACACTGTTCAACCTTATTTCTCTCACATTTAGCAGCAACTTCCCATCGCACATCAGGGGGGGCAATGTCAGCTAGCTTGTAGAGTTTATCAACAGGCAGAGGCGGCCCTAGGTAATTTTCAACGGTAAGCAAACAGTATTTTGGCACCCCCACCCCCACCCACCCCAACCAATCACTGATATATATTTTCTGTTCATGGTGGGAGTTCTTTGTGCCATATTTGGTTCAATTCCATCATTGGTGGAGTTCAGAATGCTCTTTGATTGTAGGTGAACTATACATCCCAGTAACTACAACTCACATATGTCAAGGTCTATTTTCCCCCAAATAGCGCCTCAAGAGTGCCCCTGGGCAAAATCAACTATACTGCAAATGCTTACTTCGCGTAATGGGTTGAGCCGCCCCTGTCAACAGGTGTAGGTTTAAGACATCCTATGATTATTCTGCATGTTTCATTCAATGCTATGTTCACCTGCTTTGCATGATCAAATTAATATAGAAGGTTTGGTAATTTAGGGCGCTGATACAAAAAATTACCTTTGATAGACCACATCAGCTCTAGTTTCTGATATAGAACATATGCCATCCAGTAGTCACCATCTGCTTGCCCACAGAAAACCATATTTAATAATCTAGAGCTGATGTGGTAGAAGCAATCTTTTGTGGGTAGTCAGCCTCTCCCCTCCTGACATCCCTATTACCTCGGCACTATAAGAGGGTTTTGCGATACCAGCCGCTCTCATTGCCGCGTGGTTTCGAGGCAGCGGTGTAGTAATGGGGAGGCAGCGAACCATACTTTCATTCTTGCAGACCACTGGTGGTCCACGGAACCACTGATATATATCCAAAATCTTGATTGCTTAATGGAGTTGTTTTTTTAAGGGGATAACATCAAGAATGATAGGTACCATAACTGAACGCCATTGTTACATCTCCCAATGCACCATCACAGTCATAATACTTAATATAACACTTGTTTTTACATAAGCCAACACCCCACCTCAGTGATGAATTATGAATTTTATTGTACAGCCTATAATCCCTAAACTTCCTTTTGATCCTTTATATGTAAGAAATCATACAAAAATAACTTCACAGTGCATATAACTGTAGCCACCTATTCCTCTTCTCTGAGCTACCTTTAATCTTTGTTTGATGTCAGATGCCCTGGACTCCATTGCTGGTTAAATTGCCTGTAGGTTGTCGCCACAGTCCCTAGCCCTGTCTATTTTCAAAGAAATTGCCATGTTAGTGTCTTCCAGCTTAGCAAGGAGTTTGGTGGCACTTTTGAAGCCAACAGATTTTATCATGGGTATTTGTAAATGACAACAATATTCAAGTTCTGGGTATATAATGCCTGGAAATGTAATCAGAGTGATATTGGATGAGGAAGTGACAGTTGTGTCATCATTCACACTGGCCATAGTCAACATAAGCATCTTGACAACTCTGACTTTGCTAATGCTCGCCTAAGGAGTGACAGTGCATAACTCAGTCATTTCATCTCAAGACACCATAAGCATGGGAGAGAGTTCTCCTGACCAGGCAGGATGCTATATTGATAAGCAGAACACAAGGTTAACTGCTTCATAGTGAGCATGCCTTTCCTGCATTTTAGTGTCTGTTTAGTTAGCGATTTTAACTGTTTCATTTCCTGTGACACAACACAAGGTTGCTTCTTAGTTCTTACCCCATTGCATCTCTCTCATTTTAACTTTATTAAAACTTACTATTGTGTTGTTTCCAGGAAAATAAGGTTATTAGAAATATAATGGGATGAGTTTCTATAGATACTTGGCTAGGACCCAATAAGTACCACACTTGACAGGATAGACTCTGAATAGATCGACATAAAACAGGAAGGATATGGTGAGGTTTTTTAAAGGCAAAGCATTTCTTTCTTCACCAGATTGGCCCTCCTGCCTGACTGACTTAAGCTATGCCTTAGGCTATGATTGTATCTTTTCCCTGAAGTCTCAGAATACACTCCTTCCTCCCATCTGCCTAGCACTAATTAAAACCATCTTCTTTTCTAATTGCTAGTTGTGTTTAAACACTTGACGATTTCAATCAGTTCTCAACTGGCCAGGTCCCTATCTAACTATTGCTAACCTTTCAAGATTGTCTATCTTCACATCATTTTATGGGGATGTTACATTTCTCACATGCTTCAGTTTAAATATATTTATTGAACCCAGAAGGAGGAAGAATCTGGTTCTGTTCATTACACTTCTCTTCCTCTCTATTCCATATTTTATCTTATAATAAGTGCAGCATTGGACCGAGCTGTGGTGCAGTTAGCTGAGAGCTATCTGCATTAAATCACTACTGACTGAGAGGTCATGAGAAGTCAGCCCAGGTCAGAGTGAGCTTCTGGCCATTCACCTAGCTTGCTGTCAACCTATGCAGCCCAAAAGTAGCATCTGTCAAGTAGGAAATCTGTCAAGTAGGAAATAGCAGCCAATAGTGAAAAGGACCAAGGCAGTGACATCTCCAGGCCACCCCCTGTTCGGACCACTCCCCTGTTCGGGTATCAGCCAGCATGTCAATGACTTAAATCAAGAAATAGTTTTCTTAGATCTACAGAGACACTCGCTGGAACACCTCAGCAAGCGAGAGTCCAAAAGTGGCAGGCTAAAACCCAGCACCTCAATCCATGGGTGATACCAGATGAGAAGACTGGGCGAGACTTGGAAGGCACTGAACATACTGCGCTCTGGCACCACAAGATGCAGAGCCAGTCTTAAGAAATGGGGCTACAAAGTGGAATCCACAACATGCAAGTGCGGAGAAGAGCAAACCACAGACCACCTGCTGCAATGCAACCTGAGCCCTGCTACATGCACAATGGAGGACCTTCTTGCGGCAACACCAGAGGCACTCCAAGTGGCCAGATACTGGTCAAAGGACATTTAATCAACTACCAGGTTTGCAAACTTTGTGGTTTTTTATCTGTTTGTTTGTTTTGTTCTGTTAGAAATGTAATACAATGGTCTGGTTGCCCCTGACACGATAAATAAATAAATAAGTAGGAAATTTAGGTACTGCTTATACGGGGAGGCTAATTTAACTAACTTACAATATCATAAAACCTTCCAGCAGTATGCAGAAGAATGCGGAAGTACTCCATCAAAGAACTCAGTGTCACAATGGTCAGTGAAGCGGCAGCTCTCCCTGTGGCCTGAATCCAGCATACCCTCATGAAGCTAGAAAAAGCTTGGGCACAGCTAGAATATTAAATTGCCCCTGCGTCTGTCTATATATGTTGTATATCTAACTTGCATTGAATGTTTGCCATGTATATGTGCATTGCAATCTGCCCTGAGTTCCCTGTGGGGTGAGAAGGGCAGAATATAAATACTGTAAATAATAATAATTGTGCTGGATTTATTTGCTTACCACATAACTTGCAAGACCACAACAGTTCATTATGAGAGCATTCTCAAGGAACAAATAGTGTTTGCTGGATCAAGCAAACACCATTTCCCTAATCAGTTTGCTTTGCTTTTATGAGTTTTATGAAAAGATGGCATCCTATGATGTATTGAATGCAATAGGAGTTTGTTTCAAGCAAATATGCATTGAGCCACATTATAAAAGATTTACATGTCATTTTGTTCCAATATTTTCTCCAAGTGTAGATAGGCTAGACATTTCCTAGCCTATCTGCTGGTGCAGCTGTCTCCAAGATGTCTTCAACAGGGGTGCTGTTAAGCTGAGACCAACTTGGGATAACTGAAGGACTGTTGCATTGTTATAATATATACCTCACAAACCTTTCCTGCTAGAAGCAGGGCACATCTGTTTCCTTGCTCTGGTGAAGGCAAATCATTCATTCAGCTGATAGAAACATTTTATTGGCTTGCTACATAACTAGCAAAAAGAACAAAGCACATTTTGCCTTCCAGTTTCAGCTATAAAAGTAACATCAGCTTCTTAACGTTATTCAACACTTTCATAGTTCTCTTTTAATATTTTCAGCAGCAGATAGCAAAACACGATCCCAGTTAGCTGATAAGAAAGCACAGAACACACAAAAAAAGGTTGAGTAAATGCCTCACGGAAATATCATCCATCTTTTTTAATTTCTCTGTTCCATTTTTCCATGCCTCTGTTCATTCCCTCCTATTTCTACATTAGTTTGTGTTTCTTTTTTAAGAAATCATCAATATCAATTTCATTTTAATTTTAAAACAGGCAATTTTGCCTGCATGATCATTTCTACAAGCAATTTTCCTTACAATTCGTCTGTGTATCTGCATTTTCCCAACAATATGTGCATTTTAGTGAGCGACTTTTGCTTAAATCAATTTTTAGGAGTCACATATCATAACATTATGAGTAGTGCAAACATAGGGTCACAACTGCGTCCTGGTGACTGATTTAAGAATGTGGATTTCATAAGCCACTTTGAGTCTCCTTGTAGAGAGAAAATGGGAGTATACACAAACCCAAAAATAACAATAACAACAATAGATGCTTCAGGATTAAAACTGAACAGACATCTTCCTATACTCCTAGTTCAGATCCGGATTAAGGCCCACTGAAAGTAAGGCTGCAGTAAGGACACCAATTGTGCAAAGACAGGGCTTACCTCTTTTGGGGGTAGAGAATGAGAAATTCAAATCTTTTAGTCAGCAGGGCAGTCCATGGTTTCTCTCTTTTGAAGTTTTAATATCTTACACTTGTCTACCTTGCATATAAAGTTCAGATTTAGATTTATTCAATATTTAATTACAATGTATTTTAGGCTTACCTGCACGAGCCCAATAAAAATGCGAATTCCTCCAATTACAACAATGTGTTCTCCAAACCAAGTCTTCACTTTTGCAACACATCCCTGAAAAAAAAAAACCCCACATGTTTGGGCTGTTGTGTCTGAGCATATGCCGTCCAAACTAAGTAGATTGCAAACCAGCATTATCATACATAATCTACTTAAAGGAATGATTAAACAAAATGCTGCAATTGTTTCATATTGTAGTCACATTATGGTCATTGTCCAGCACCTATCTCTCAATGCAGTGTCTGTTTTTGTTTTGTTTGTTTGTTTGCTTTTGTAGGCAACTATATTGACAGAGCTGCTTATCAAGGCAAGAAGGTAGGGTTTATTTGGTAAAATCCACAAGCAATAATCTTGGTTTTTCAAGTGTCAATCAAATCATGGTAACCGTAGCTTCCCATGCCAGTCATAAAGTGGGCATCACAAGAGCCAAGTACATAAATAATTTCTAACCTGTAGTGAAAGTAGTTGTTATTTAAAAGGCATCGTGAACAGATTGTCAAAAATATTAAAAATTAACTAGATATTTTTAATTACAAAAATGTGAGTCAAGCATTGAAAAGGTTAAATTGATACAATTACTCAGCAAAGCTGTAGTTCTATATAAGCAGATGTGCCTGTAGCTTAGTTGCTTCAGTCTGTGAGAGTTCTCTGTGGGAGAAGGGCCTCAGTGTTAGTTTGCCTCAGTATGAGAAAGGTGTCAGTCTGAGAGAGGCCTCAGTGTGAGGTAAGCCTCAGTGTGAGGTAATCCTCAGTGTTAGTAGGCCTCAGTATGGGTAGGCCTGGTGTGAGAAGCTTCAGTGAGAAAAGTCCCAGGTTGAAGGCCATAGTGTGTAAAAGCTACTGTGTGAATCTCCTATATAAGTTAGCTGTGAGAAGAGGCTCTGTGAGAGTTAAGCTTTTTATCTGCATAAGAAAGAAGCCCAGTGTGGAAGCAAAGAAGGAGGCATAAAGAACTTTAGGAGACTATACAACTTACTTGCTGATTAATGCCTATTGGATATTGGCTTAGATCTGTGACACAGCTTTCCACAGGTACTTTACAGCAGCTTCTTGGGACAGATGAAGAAAGAGAGCCAAATGTGGTGTTTAGCCAGTCAGTATAATTCTCTGCACCACAACACTGGAACTACAGTAAAAAAGCAAAGTTTCAGTTTCAAAGAAATTTGATACAAAATGACCTCATGGAAATAATAACGTCTTCTATTTCTTTTCATTTTTTTTCTCTAGAAAATGTCACATCCTGTTCCATAATCTTCATCTGTAGACCCAACTTACTTTTACAGTTATTGTACTTTTGGAATGACCAAAAGTACCCTCCAATTTAGATTCCCGTACATAGATACTTCAAAGTACTGAATAGCGGGGTGGTGAGTGATAACATGCCAAGCTCTCACCCAGTAGTGGGGTGCAATGCAACATGCAACTACTCTAGATCACTCTAGATTCTGGGGGCCCCTCCAGAACATCTGAAATACCTAGCGGGAGGACTACATGGCTTAAACCAGGCATAGGCAAACTTTGCCCCTCCAGGTGTTTTGGACTGTAAACTGTTAGTTGTGGAAGTTGTGGGACTTCAACTCCCACAACTCCTAACAGTTTACAGTCCAAAATGCCTGGAGGGCTGAAGTCTGCCAATGCCTGGTTAAAATGGTACATTTTAGGATGGGTAGCACTGTGGTTATGTCTCCTGATGTAGGTTCATGGCCATTATCTAAAGCGGTGTTTCTCAACCTTCCTAATGCCGTGACCCCTTAATACAGTTCCTCTTGTTGTGATGACCCCCAACCATAAAATTATTTTCATTGTTACTTCATAACTGTAATTTTGCTACTGTTATGAATCATAATGTAAATATCTGATATGCCGGATGTATTTTCAGTCACAGGACCAAATTTGGCATAAATACCTGATACACCCATATTTGAATACTGGTGGGGTTGGAGGGGGGTTGATTTTGTCATTTGGGAGTTGTAGTTGCTAGGATTTATAGTTCACCTACAATCAAAGAGCATTCTTAGCTCCACCAACAATGGAATTGGTGGGCATTGACCTTGAGTTTTGGAGTTGTAGTTCACCCACATCTAGAGAGCACTGTGGACTCAAATAATGATGGATCTGGACCTTCTTGGCACGAATCCTCAATATACCCAAATGTGAACACTGGTGGAGTTTGGGGGAAATAGACCTTGACATTTGGGAGTTGTAGTTGCTGGGATTTATAGTTCCCCTACAATCAAAGAGCATTCTGAACCCCACCAATAATAGTTGGACCAAACTTCCCACACAGAACCCGTATGACCAACAGAAAATACAGTGTTTTCTGATGGTCTTTGGCAACCCCTCTGACACCCCCTCACGACTATGGAAATCCACTGGGTGATCTTGGACGAGTCACATTCCCTCAGAGCAAGGCAAAGGCAAAACCCCTCACAATAAATCTGCCAAGAAAACCCCTGTGACAGTTTCACCTATCAAAGGCACACGAGAACTAGTATTGTGCCTCAAACTTCTACATTCAGACATTTTAATGGGGATAAAACTATTTGCTTTTCAAAAACATCAAACAAAAAGATTAATTTTTTAAACTCCTGATTTAGTTTGGTTTTTTTTGTTTGTTTGTTTTTTTGCTTGTGACCAAATGGTTAGAAGGCTCTGTTTATCTTTTAAAAGATTTTTCATAATGTAAGTATAATGTAAGAAAAACATAACAGTACCTTCCCACTGTGTGGGGTGGTGGTGTTGAACTAAAACTACAATTAACTACTTTTTAAAAAATAACTTTCCAACTGCTCTTTTGCAAGCTTCAAACATTACAGTTCTTCCTCAAACAATATGTTCTTTACATTGTTAGTTGCTTCTACTTTTTGCCTCTCTCACAACAGACATGCAAACCCAAATGATAAGGTTATTTACTAAATACTCCACATGGACAAGTCTTTAATTCACCTTTTAAAATGGAGGGAGAAAGGATTAGACCGTGTTTGTGCTTCTGGACTCCAGTAATAATGTTGGCTTTTATATATAGTTCTTCAAAATTTAATTTCTGCCAGAGAAAAACGTATTTACCTGACTCTGTAGGCTATCTACAGCCTTGGTGATCTGTAGTTCTTCACTGTACTTGTCCATGGTCTCCAAGACATCTTTCAATAAAGTTTGATGTAACTGTTAACAGAAACACAAGGGACAATACAAGAAAAGTTCAGGTCTATTGCTTTGGTTTACCAAAAGCAGAGGACAGCTGACTGTTGATAAACTAGGTACCAAGAAACCTATTATATGAAACCTGATACTACTTCATCATTACTCCATTGATAATATGAAGTATTATCAAACTTAGATTGGGATTGCAGGGACTGAGTGTTTCAGGAGAATTTGCTCCCATCTAACTTGCACGCTGCTTTTGTTATAATGTCTCATCAGTGACAAGAGGCCTAGCATATCTTTGTGGACCCATGGATTGTGTTTTACACCCTATAGTTTATTACCAAGTGGATATGGATAAGATTGCAGAAAAAAGACAACTTGGAAAGAATGATAATTGGTCCTTCTGGTCTTACCCTGTGCCCTTATTCTCAGGTGCCCACTGAAACCTTTCCCAACTTAAAAATTGTCCTCCTGACCACAAGGTTTTCCTCACTGCTGCTTGCAGAGTGAACAAAAAAGCTCACTCAGTGGTTATGAGGAACTGGTGAGGCACCTCTCAATCAACCTTGCCTAATTCTGGAACTTTAGCAAGGATTAATTAGAAATAGACTGTATTTTGTACATTAAAGGTAAATCATAACAATTTTGAATGGCACTCTGCAAAGGAGGGGAGTTTGAGATTTAAAAATGCAAGCACTTTGCAACATGTTTGTAATAGAGAGCAAGAGCACAGCACAAAGTTTCTGCGAGATTGATAACTCTGGTTTCATTTACTTGTGTCTGACTTAGGCCCCTTGTACACTGCTTTGAACTGGATTATATGAGTCTACACTGCCATATAATCCAGTTTAAAGCAGATAATCTGGATCTTATATGGCAGGGTTGAAAGTATTTCTACTCTAGGTATTTCTATGTCCTCCAGGTGATTCTCTGGAATACTTAAAAGGTGAAGGTTTCCCCTGACATTAAGTCTAGTTGTGTCCAACTCTGGGGAGCGGGGTGCTCATCTCCATTTCTAAACCAAGATCCATCATTGTCCGTAGACACATACATGTGGCCAGTATGACTGCATGGAGCACCATTACCGTCCTACAGAAACAGTACCTATTGATCTACTCACATTTGCATGTTTTCAAACTGCTAAGTTGGCAGAAGCTGGACCTAATAACGGGAGCTAACCCCATTCCCTGGATTCAAACCACCAACCTTTTTGTCAGCAAGTTCAGCAACTCACTGCGTCACCAGGGGCCTCTTAAATTGACCATAATTTGGACTTTGATTCATCACAAAACTTACCTTCTCTCTGTAAGTATATGCAACAGCACCAGCTATGATTCCAGTAATCAAGTGGGCCAGTAATATGCCTGCGAACTAACAAGAGAGAAGCCTTCTCAGATTAAAGGCTAGTTACTTATGAAAAATAACATCAAGACTGCATTTCAAGGAGGCCAGACTAGTGGAAAATACCACTGCTGTTTTCTTAATATCATTTCTCCATTCCTGCCTCATTTGCCCCCCAGTCCAATTTATAATCCATCAAATATGCCAGGCTGATTGTATGATGCCTACAGAGCCAAACTCAACATTGGCATGGATATGTTGACACAGAACAGAGATAATGAAGTACCAATTAAAAATAGGCAAACGTTACTGATCGTGTCCAAGCTGAGCCACAATCACCATACATGGTAAAATAACCTGCTGTGGTTAGAAAATGGGCACTGCTTATACATTCTAATTAAAAAAAATATTTGGGGGGCATATATTCAGGTTTTTAAAAAGATCAGGAGGGGCATACTCACATTGAGTTGTTTCCCCCATTACATCAATGGCCCAAAATGTCAGATGGAGTACAGCTATATAACTGGGCATGAATTGTAACCTATTATAAAATATACTTGGAGGTTCATTAGAATAGAAACATTATGTCCTTCCAAGTTTTGTTTCTTGCTCTAAACGCAGCCAATATACTAGTTACTTCCTACAGTTGCTAAATGGGTGTATGGTGGACATATTCGTTGTGCATGATCAGTATCACCGTTCTTGCACTTTCTTAATTAACCATGATATACTTGTATAGTGTTTTCTCACGGCTGCTGTCTAGCATGATGCCACCTGAAGTTATTACAGCGCAGTAAAATAAATATTAACCAATTCAGAGAACACCTCACAGTTCGCTTTTCTCTCAGGTTTCACATCCCAGATAAGAATTTGGTGTGTCAAAGTACTACAACTGCAAATAGCATAAGCTATGACAGAAATGGAAGTTGCAGTCCCACAGCTGGAAAGCACCACATTCTCCTCTGAGCCATGATACTACTTGGCTCAATTTCACCTGTGATTGCAATTAGCAGTGGGTGCCACAACATTGCAAGATCTGAACTACTCTTGAATCCATGTGAAATTAACACACACAGTGTCTTAAAGCAAAATCTGGATCCTTATATCTATGTGTCACTTACTATTTTGATCATTTTAGAGTTGCGCTTAAGCACAGCAATTGCTCCAAAGGCTGATATGATGATTATAAATGTGCCGACAATGGTTATGACCACAGGGACCACAGAAGCACCTTCATTCAACACAGCAAAGATATCACGGAGTTTCACTTGGATAGACACTCCTATGCATATCAGCACAACTCCAGAAATCTAGAATTACAGATGTTAAAGAATCACTAACAAACTGTAACAGAAAAAAGTGCTTCTCAAAAGTTCGGTACCTGTAATATTGGCAAATGCAATTGGGTCACCTCTTCCACCATTAACATGAATCCTGGTTCATAGCAAACTGAAGCCTTCCTCAACAAGTGCAAATATTTTTAATAAAGGAAAAAAAGAGTGCAGCACAGAACAGAACAGTTAAAAGTGCAATTTTTCTTTTGTTTCGACATGAAGTACAGCTATACTGCCATCCTACAAATTTAAATGCCTTATCAAGCATCCAGAAGCTCTTTGGATTTATTGTCAAAAGTTTTCATAGCTGGAATAACTGGGTTGTTGTAGGTTTTTCAGGCTACATGGCCATGTTCTAGAAGCATTCTCTCCTGACGTTTTGTCTGCATCTATGGCATGCATCCTCAGAGGTTACAACAACCCAGCTCTTTGGATTGTGTGAACAATGTAAATTGCCTGAAAGAGATTACAGCCCCTTCCACACAGCTGAATAAAATCCCACATTATCTGCTTTGAACTGGGATATATGGCAGTGTGGACTCAGATATTCCAATTCAAAGCAGATATTCTGGGTTATATGGCTGTGTGGAAGGGCCCTGCATCTTGCTAGGGTATAATCCTGTACCCACTTAGGTAGAAATAAGTACAAGGAAGACCATGTTGCTTACACCTGAGTAAATATATGCTGACATGATTTGTTTAAATGAGTGAGATACATTCAAAAGTTTCTCTATGTGTGTATTACAGAACTACACACATCTGAACAGGGATGCTTAAAGTAATTCTGCTTAATCATTTTGTAAGTTTATAACATTTTGGAAACCTAACTAAATAATTATCTCTTCAGTTCTGCTACAGGGAGTTTACAGAGCCATTATTAGACATACTAAGTTTCCAGCATCTAGACACGTAAGCAAATAAGCATAAGCAAAATCTAAATAAATGTGGATCAAAAAATTATTAGAAAAAAACCTTACCCAATAAAGTAAGATAGTTAGCCATAAACAAATCTTAACTACTGTCTCCCAATTAGTAACTTCTTTCCCCAGCATTCTGCTTGCTGATTTCTATCCTATACTTCCTGGGACCACTGATGAGGACAGATATATTGACACTAATTAGTTATCACACTTGTCACCAATTTCAAGCTAATGCTTATTTGAGGTCAAATGTCTATGACCTGTTGGAAGAACAGGTTTGTTAATGATCCCAAAGTATTTATTCTGGAGTAACTACAAGTAAGTTGAACTTGCTGTGGTAGCATGATGAGTTGGCCTGCACCTGAAATGACTTACTTCAGCTGTATGTATTGAATTCTCTGTCACTGGATTGTGATAGAACTTTGTTTATAATGTTTTCTCATTGCTTGCATGCTAAATATAAACAAACAAAATCAAGAACTGAAAGGCTGCATTGAGTTCCATTGAAGCTGACTTCTAAGTATATAGGTATGCTTTATGCAGACGATCCCTCTTAATTGCACTATAGGACACAATCTCAATAATAGATTAATCACTCTGATGGACAAGTGTAACAACGTCTGGGCTATACTTTACAAACATATAGGTAAAGGTAAAGGTTTTCCCCTGACATTAAGTCCAGTTGTGTCCGACTCTGGGGGGGGGGGGGTGTTTATCTCCATTTCTAAGCCGAAGAGCCGGCGTTGTCTGTAGATGCCTCCAAGGTCATGTGGCCAGCATGACTGCATGGAGCACCGTTACAAACATATAGAAAAGATTTAATTTGGAAGGGTGACCATTCTAATGTTACCTCTTTCACACTCTCTAACAGAACAGAAGACCATGAATCCCAGAATCCCTGCATTTGTTTCTTCTTCATTTCTGTGTAATGTGATAGATGTTCTAGATATTACGCTGACATAGGGGTGGAGATCTAGCCTCCCTCCCCCTGATGTTGCTGGGCAATGATCCCCACCATCCCCAATCACTGCTGTATCTGAAGAGACACAAGTTTTCTTCCTTTGTTTTACTGGCTTTTATCTGAAATTAAAGTGCTTATGACAAGAACAATAACCATATACATTCTTATCTGAGAATAATCCTAGTGGCCAATAATAATACTACTATTAAAAAAAACAGGTAGGATTTCATTTGGATTAACAGGAGGTTCTTTGCTGTGTTCTCTCCTAGCAACAGGCCTCAAAGTCCCTCTGTTTAGCAGCTCTCCTTCCCCAGTGAACAACAGCTTGTATTGGAGCAGCATCAAAGCAGAGTATTAAGAACCATAATATATGCACCTGCATGGAAAATCTAATGGAGCCCTCTTGCCAATGTGAATTAAAATCAGCAGTCTGATCTATTCCCTCCCTTTCTTTTCTCTCTTCCAAGTATGGACTAGCTCCCAGCATTTTACTATTATGTCCCCCAGTCCATAGCTTGGCTGTTAAAGTGTATGAACAAAGTAATCTCAGCCATACTCAAAGCCTGGCAGTCTTTCACTTGGCAAGGAGAAACCTAAGGGGATTTTTATTGTTATTATTACTATTCTTGAAGTCTGCAGATCTCCAGCCAGTGCAAAAGTGTTGATGTTCTGAGCTTTGCAACTGACAAACATTAGAAAGTTAGAGGCAGCCACAGCAAACCGCAAGGCCCCTTGCTCTCATAGGTCTACTATTCCAAAGAGGACTCAAGTGCAGATACTGGAATTCCTTGGTCTGTACGTGATGAAAGTAAAACAGTATTATTCCCTCCCTCTTCAAGTCTGTCTATGTTTTGCTGTGGCCTATCTGGGCTGGTAGGTGGCGCAGCACATTAAACCGCTGAGCTGCTGGACTTGTGGACTAAAAGGTTGGCGGTTCGAATCTGAGGAGCGGAGTGAGTTCCAACTGTTATCCCCAGCTTCTGACAACCTATCAGTTCGAAAACATGCAAATGTGAGTAGATCGATAGGTACCACTTTGGCGGGAAGGTAATGGCGCTCCATGCACCTTGGAGGCGTCTATGGACAACACTGGCTCTTCGGCTTAAAAATGGAGATGAGGGTTGGAGGTTTAGCACAGCTGATAAATCATCAGCAACTAGAAGATCTGTCAACTGAAAGGTTGCAAGTTTGAAGCCCTGGGTCGGCGTGAGCGGTCGACTGTCAGCCCTGTTCACTGTTTACCTAAGCAGTTTGAAAACAGCTTTAGCTATAATTGGAGAAAATAGGTACCACTAAAAGTGGGGGAGGTGTTTTATGATGCCATAAAGAAAAAAAGATCAGAAAATCCTGGGCAACCAAAAAGGAAGGAGGAAGTCCTGACGGTTCTTCATCATAGAGAAGGGAGCAACGACACCCCCTGTGGCTGGACTCACCTTCCGTGGCACCAAAAAAACAAACAAACAAACAGCTGGACACTGAGTCAACAACATCTCCTTTCTGTTCTCTCTGTCTGTGTATTGTCCATACAAAAGCGGCATTGAATGTTTGCCGTGTATATGTGCTTTGATCCGCCCTGAGACCCCTTCGGGCTGAGAAGAGTGGAATATAAATAAAGTGTTGTTGTTATTATTATTATTATTGTTATTAGCACCACCACCCCTGAGAGTCGGACCTTTACCTTGGCTAGTTAGTCAAGAAGGAGGACTGATTGGATAAACTGGTACAGTGCTGGTATGCAGTAAGTAGTTATGCAAAGCAGAGTCTTTTAAATGGCATACCTAATGCTCAGATCTTCTTCCCAAAAGAAATACGTTATATTGAAGCCACCTACAAAACATTATTTGTTCCCCTTTGGCTAGTGTGCCAGCTGTGATCTTTCTTGGAGAAGGTGGATCTGCCCACATTGGTTCATGCCTTAGTTGCCTCCCAATGTGACAACCATCATGCACTCTATGTGAGACTGCCCTTGAAAAATGTTTGGAAGCTGCAGGTAGTGCAAAATGCAGCAATCAGGCTATAATAACTATTATTATTATTATTATTATTATTATTATTATTATTATTATTTATTTCTTACCTGCCTCTCTTCATGGCTCAAGGTAATCTCATAACACCAGTCCATAGAAACCATATAGTACCTGTCTGACAAGAATGGCATCCAAATTGCTTGCAAGCCCAATTCAAGGTGCTGATGTTGACCAATAAATCCCTAAATGACTTGGCTCCAAGATATCTGAAAGACCATCATTTTTGATCTTACAAGAAATTTGAGCTCCTCAGAGGAGGGCCTGTTGCATGTTGGTCGGTACATGTAACAGAGCTTTCTCTGTAGCAGCACTTTCACCATGGAGCTCCCTTTCTATGGAAGTTAGGCTAGGACCATCTCTCTTAAGCTTCTAGTAAGCGTCAAAACATTGCTGTTCCACATGGTATAGTTTCACTATGGTTGAAATGGTTATTTAATTGTTTTAAAATTGATTATAGCATAGGTTTTAGATTGTCTTTAGGAGTTTTAAAGAGCATTTTAATGTATTTTAAAAATGTTCTTTATCTCTCTATTGTTTTATTTATTTTTGCTCATCACTTCAGGTGTGAACTGAGTGATAATACAGAAATATTTTAAACAAAAATACATTTAAAAATATTATTACGGAGGTAACTAAATAAAATTATTTTTCTTTCAGACAGCATGGGGGGGGGGACATCACATGTGTATGTGTCTTCAGGTCACCTGTTGACTGATGGTGAACCTATTGATTTCAGAGAGAGGCAAGGAGTACTCAGAAATAGTTTTATCTCTTCCTTCCACTTAACATATATCCTGTTTGCACCTGGTGCTTGTTGGTGGTCTGATCTCCCATACATTAGCTGTGCCTATATTTTGTCTGGATGTGTAATATTCCTTAACACTCTTTTACTATATATTTAAATCGTTTAACGTGTATCCTTGCCAAAATTGTATAGTCTGGAAGGACAGCAATATAAGCTGGGACACACTTTAATTTAATGTATTTAATTTAAGGAAGGCTTAACAAAATGCAATGTATTACATGTTCCCAAATGGTATGAAGACTCATTTGTTGTTATTACTGCATTAAGTTTAAAAAGATATTTCCCCTGTTGGACTAATAGTCTGTTCTTTGACCCATAATGTATACACTCTCTTCATTTCCAGTTAAGTACATTACAGGCAAATCCAAGAATGTCACCATTCCATTATTCCAGTTCTCATCTCCAGCTGCTACGATAATTGACTTCATTTGAGATTAAATTGTTTCCATAACAAACACAAGGTTGTACATGTGCTGCCATTGCAGAGTCTTTTTTACTGCCAGTAACCTAGAGAAACAGACTCTGTTCTGAAATACCGGATTGTCTCGTATGGAATTTGTTCAGCCAAAGTGTTGTCTGTTCCAAAAAAATACATCACACACACATAAAAACCCTGGATGCACAAAAACAAAGGTGATTTAGAACACAGAGCAGTCAAAAGTAAGCACCTTAGCAGTGCTATGCTGCTTCTTGTTGTTGTTAACTTCTATCAGGTCAACTTCAACTTCTAGAAGCTCTGTGATTGTGAGACCTCTGAGGCCCCTTCTATACAGCTGAATAAAATCTCACATTATCTGCTTTGAACTGGAATATATGGCAGTGTGAACTCAGATAACCCAGTTCAAAGCAGATATTGTGGGATTGTCTGCCTTGATATTCTGAGTTATATGGCTGTGTGGAAGGGTCCTGAATCACCCTATCTACCCTCAACAGTCCTGCTCAGGCCTTGCAAACTTAGGACCATGGCTTCCTGGATTGAGTCAATATACTTTTAATATGATCCTCCTCTTTCTTACTGCCTTCCAACTTGTCAAGCACTTTTGTCTTAAGAGTGAGCCATGTCTTTTCATGATAGCCAACCTTCTTGCTTGTGTTTATTCGGAAATAAATTCCAGTGACGTTGAATTCACTTGGGCATACCCTCAGTTAAGTGTAAGTAGTCAAAGTCACACTGACTTCACAGAAGAATTGGGACATGTTTTAATACAATAATGATAATAATGATAATGATAATAATAATGATAATAATAATATACTTTATTTATATTCCACTCTATCTCCCCAAGGGGGCTCAGAGCGGATAACAGAATACATATTTGGCAAACATATATGTACTCTGGCAAACATTCACTGTTGTTATACAATTAACAACAAAGACGGACAGTG